CCAGACCACCGGGCCACCTCTGATGAGACTCTGATCCACCACGAGGCCTGGTCTCAGACCGAGCCGAGGGGGCGGTGCCCACATAAACTCCAGGTAAACCTGACCAACACTGGAGACAGTTTTGGTATTATTATTATTAAAGATTAGCCGGTATTCTCCCGGCCCGGGCCTTGTCCAAGTGGTGGCCCGGCCTTGGCTCCCTCTTTAGGGAGTGTCTGAGACCTAAGTCTCCCATGGGAGGAGGCACAAGTACCCCCTCATCTTTGGGACCAACTGTCCCCAGACCTAGCCACAAGCTAGGCCTCTCTGGTCTGCCATCCCCGCCACAAGGGGGCTAATGGGAATGACAGTCTTGTGAGCTAAAGGCTCGGGCTCAGGCACCTACCCTACCCTAGAAGGGTTAGGCATGGTATCGAATGAGTTTTGGTTATTATTATTATTATTATTATTAAAGATTCGCCGGTATTCTCCCGGCCCGGGCCTTTTCCAAGTGGTGGCCCGGCCTTGGCTCCCTCTTTAGGGAGTGTCTGAGACCTAAGTCTCCCATGGGAGGAGGCACAAGTACCCCCTCATCTTTGGGACCAACTGTCCCCAGGCCTAGCCACAAGCTAGGCCTCTCTGGTCTGCCATCCCCGCCCCAAGGGGGTTAATGGGAATGACAGTCTTGTGAGCTGTAAGCTCGGGCTCAGGCACCTACCCTACCCTAGAAGGGTTAGGCATGGTGTCGATCTTATTCGCCGGTCTTTTCTCCAGGATTAGGACCCCCTTTTTTTTTTTGATATAAGACGCCCAGTTAGTGCTATATTTTTTTTTTTTTTTTTTTTTTTTTTTTGCATTCTGAGGACACACACACACGTAACTTTATATTTGGTATTTTATTTATAACATTATAAATACTGTTCCAACCTTTTCGAAGTCTCTCATAAATATTTCACACAAATAGTCTATGTCAACATTCCAGTCACATTAAAATCAATATAAATAACTAGATAATGCGACTAGTCAAGGAGTCGAACCCATGATGCTTTGGCCTGCCTTATGGTGGGCAAAAACTCATGATACCTTAATCCTCGGGACCACACAATTCTTTAAGAGTAGCGCATCCAGCAGAACTGGATGTTGTACTCGCTATCCAAGCGAGTCACTAATAAATAACAATCCTGGAATATTATCATTTGCTGTCACTATCAGTGCATTTTTCTCACAGTAACACTTTATACTTGTATCTTAAGACACATGTGCAACATCTGGGTATCTTTGTAAAGATACCCAGATGTTGCACATGTGTCTTAATTTCATCTTGTCGGTATTATATACCATTCTTGCACAAACACACGTATCTGTTTACACAAGTTACGACCAGTAGAAGCTACGTCCAGTCAGTACATAATATATACAGGAAAGTGGAGTAGTAGTGGCGACCTGATGAGATGGAAGGATGTCCATCTGTGGATCTCTGATTAACTCAAAGATCCTAATATAACTCCTCCATAAACACCGCCATGACTTGACAAACGTCTAGTAATATTACTACTAATACCTCTGGTGTTACCCCTGTCTTCTCTCCTATATATACACTCATGTTGTCTATTTAATGTATGATTGATTTGACAAAGTCAACTTGCATTAAGAAATGTCTCAGTAACTTGCTTAACTCTCTATAATCTCGTTCCAAACTGTCACTCTGATAATGTAACCTTTCTAGATTAAGTCACTATTTGACGACAACCTCGCAGGAAGAAACCTGGTACTTTAAATACTATGTTAGAACAACAGTTTAACCTTCTCCTCAATAGGAGGCCTGGTCTCAGACCGGGCCGCGGGGGCGTTGACCCCCGGAACTCTCTTCAGGTAAACTACTGACACTGTCATCTCCTCACTACTGGCACTGTCATCTCCTCACTACTGACACTGTCATCTCCTCACTACTGACACTGTCATCTCCTCACTACTGACACTGTCATCTCCTAACTACTGACACTGTCATCTCCTCACTAAATAACACTGTCATCTCCTCACTACTGACACTGTCATCTCCTCACTATGACACTGTCATTCCTCACTACTGACACTGTCATCTCCTCACCACTGACACTGTCATCTCCTAACTACTGACACTGTCATCTCCTCACTACTGACACTGTCATCTCCTCACTACTGACACTGTCATCTCCTCACTACTGACACTGTCATCCCCTCACTAAGTTAAATATCGACCGAGTTGAAGACTTGAACACCCTAGTACTATACTTCTGAAGCTAAAAACTCTAGAAAATCGTAATGTATATAACAAATGTGGTGATAATGTTGGCACAAGGCACCTACCTGTCCAGGACAGATGTCAAGACGAAATTACAAAGGACAACTTATCACGAGGCAAAAAATATATTTGTAATCTTTAAAAGGATCAAAGCATCGTGAAAGCATTTGTTTATCTCCAGAGACAAACTGTTGCCTTACGGGGTTACACTGTGTTTCCTTTATTATATATGTTAAATGGCTCCTGAGTGAGTCTATGGTTTTGTTGTCCATTGTGATATCGCCTTTACATATATCAAGTACAATTTACCTATATTAAAAGATTATTAAAAGTTCTAGCGTCTCAACAGTAACAGAGTATTTTGGATTTAGATGCTTACATCGTTATTAATAACAGGTAATAACGTTTAAAGCCAGAACTCTGCAGTAGGAGATGTTAGGTTACTTACTGCATAGTTAGGTCGTAGTCCTGAGTAACATGGAATAGTCACATATTTCAAGAGTGGATAATATACTCTAAATGTCAGTAATTGTCAGACAGGTGGCATTTTCCCATCCTTAGGTACCATCTACAGCCAGCTGTTTTCAGTCATTACCTGTTTCTTTATCTATGTTAGGAACCTGCCCTTCCCAAAAAAATAACACAGAAACACTAATTCCATCGTTTTTAAGGGGTAAGCCAGTGGAAGGCCTCAGTCACAGGACCAAAATCCGCCATAGTGGCGGGTCATCATATACCTAAAACCAGCGACAGGAAACACTTGTCCTATTTCCTGGCGAATCTTACCGAACCTAACCTAAGGAACCTACCCATCGCTTCTGCCCATCGCTTCTGCCCATCGCTTCTGCCCATCGCTTTTGCCCATTCGCTTCTGCCCATCGCTCCTGTCCATCGCTCCTCCCCATCGCTCCTCCCCATCGCTCCTGTCCATCACTCCTGCCCATCGCTTCTGCCAGCTACTCTACATAGGCTCTCAGTTTTCTCTGATGTACCATAGGTTTTCGTAGTCCAGAAACACGTAAAAAGTTTATACATTTCTCGTCTGATATCAGTCTGTTATCCTAAGTATCTGTCAGGTGGATATCATACTGCGGTTATCATATACGTCAGTATACAGCGTTTTCAAGTATCATGTCACTAAGTCACTGTCCTTACTTTAACATGCGTGAGTATAGTTTTTTAAGTCATGTCACTATAAGTTACTATTCTCACTTCAACATGCGTGAGTATAATTTTTAAGTCTGCTATAGTTACTATTCTACTTCAACATGCGTGAGTATAATTTTTAAGTCATGTCACTATAAGTTACTATTCTCACTTCAACACGCGTGAGTATAATTGTTTAAGTCATGTCACTATAAGTTACTATTCTCACTTCAACATGCATGAGTATAATTGTTTAAGTCATGTCACTATAAGTTACTATTCTCACTTCAACACGCGTGAGTATAATTGTTTAAGTCATGTCACTATAAGTTACTATTCTCACTTCAACATGCATGAGTATAATTGTTTAAGTCATGTCACTATAAGTTACTATTATCACTTCAACATGCGTGAGTATAATTTTTAAGTCATGTCACTATCCAGTTACTAACATTACTACTAGAATACCGGGGCCAGGAGCTGTAACTCGTCCCCTGCCACCACTAGGTGAGTACCGTCCCCTAAGACATCAAAATGTTGCATACAGCACATCAAACCTTTTTGATTTTGATTTAAAAAATGTGGAAAAGGGCAGACGACACCACTCACTAGTACACTAATAACCTCCCTAAAAAAAACTAATATTATCCATCTATAAAGAAAGAATGAATGTATTGACAAATTGCTGACAAGAATGTATACACAGTTTCAAAACGAGCCTTTGTTGGGGCTATGTTTCTCTTGATAAAGCTCTACGTAGGGCGAAACAGCCCCCACCTCCCCTCCGTGTTGATAAATGGTTCAGAGAACCGTTGATAAGTTAGACACATCGTGCAACACTTGAGTATCTTTATTGTGGGTACGTTTCGCCAAACAGTAGCTTCATCAGTCTAACACAAAGAAGAATCGTGGAGATCAGGAGGTTGAGGTAATCAGCCCTCAGCCTGGAGTCGATGTAATCAGTCCCTCAGCCTGGAGTCGATGTAATCAGTCCCTCAGCCTGGAGTCGATGTAATCAGTCCCTCAGCCTCGAGTCGATGTAATCAGTCCCTCAGCCTGGAGCCTATGTAATCAGTTCATCAAGTTTGTGGGACTAATTGCCTCAATCTCCTTCTAGTTTTCATTATTCTTCTTGGTATTGAACTGATGAAGCCACTCTGTGGCTAAACATCTCCATAATAAAGTTACCCAGTCTTGCACATGTGTATAATTTATCAACTTGTCCCCAATAAAAGCTAATTCCGTAATTTGTGTTGAAGAAGGACTAGCCAGACACGAGAGACTTCACAAGCACAATGGACGCTCGGGTAAAGGCGCCAGTGGCTACAACCTGAGCTCTAGAGGAAGACTTCTACACAAATAGATTCTAGGGTATGATATGCAACGTGGCTGTATGGGTATGCTCATTATGTATATATAAAATATACAAATGTTAAAACACACATACACACACACATTCACTAAATATACTGGCTATACAAACTTGGTATTTTATGTATGGAAGAAAATTTGACCTCTTGTTCGAGCAGCTAAATCTATGACTTAGCTAATACAGGTCGACCATCACTAATCCGGCACACTACAGGTTCCAATAATGCCGGATTAGTGATGGTCGACCTGTATATAAACAAAGTCCGCTCTTAGGCTACTTTCAAAATCTTATAGAAAATGATGTTATTCACAACAGCTGTGTTGAATATATTTCTACTTTAAAATGGGTATTTACATACAATTTAATGAAGAAAGACCTCAGGATGAATTAACAAAACATTAATAATTCTACATCTTATAAATATTTGTGCTATGTTTGTGGGAATTTTATTTTTTTTTACCGACTATTTCAGACAGGAGGTAGCAATGATAACAATAAATCTATGAGAATAATTGCACTCAAATTCCATCACTAGTACAACAGTTGGTATTTTTGACATTTATACAGAAAAATTACACTATTTTAAATAAACATTGAGTAGACTATACCTAATTCAACTGAAATTTCCAAAAAAATAACATGATTCCCATAATCAATTATTTTTGGAGATACAATTCACACGCATTAAAAATTAATAATACCTGTGCTATACTATTTTATAAGAGTTATTTCTTTATTTTAAGTATTATATCCTCAACAGTAATTAGTTAATCAAAAGTGAATGTGAATTTCCTTGTTATTACAAAATTAACAGTAACATATATTTTTGGGGCAGCCAAACATTATTACATCTTAATTAAGTCCATCTCAACAGTTCCTATACCTCATAATTAATGTATGAACACGTAGGATCGATCCTGCACCACTCTTTACACTGTATGACGACACACACACGGGTTTGGCGCTTAGTATACATATAAAAACATCCTCTATATGGGACTATTCAGACCAGCTTGTCAAATGCAAAACTAATATCGATTTCCTAAATTTCGAGTATGGCCTGAGTTCCGACCAGAAATGTCACAAAAACTATAATTATAAATATTAAAATGTACCAATCATTCAATATTAATAAACATAGAAATATTATAATTGGAAATATAATGACGTTTAATATGCTAACGACCATTTTTTGTTTTAATTTGGTTAAATAAACATATTTATCAAGTTCTTGTGCATAGGTTCTCCAGAGGAACCATGTACAGTATACACTGGTAATGGTGAACATTATACAGCTTCATATTCTCATTATACAGCTTCATATTCTTCATATACAGCTTCATTTTCTTCATAAGAGCTGCCATACAGCTGGACTGTTAGATAATGTTGTGTCTTCAAAGGGAGAAGGAATACTCTCACGTAGATATTTGTGATATACTTGGTGGCAGCGGTGGGCAGATATACCTGCCATCACTATACACACTCCTGTGGCAAATATAAATCTATGTTAGCTGTGTGGAATGTACTTCCGTATCGCTTTTTATTAACTACAAATTAGGATTGTTGGTCTGAGGGTTAAGTGTTTCAGTGTTATTGACTGTACGAGGGCTAACGAGACTCTTAATATGTCAAGGATATTTATATCACTAGAGATTAAATTGAACTCTCAGTGAATGTACATTGAGAACTATACACATTTTGGGGTATATACATTGAAATATACACCTCTCGGTGTATAGTGCATACAGATATACTCTCTCTCTCTCTCTCTCTCTCTCTCTCTATATATATATATATATATATATATATATATATATATATATATATATATATATATATATTATATATATATATATATATACATATATCTATATTATAATAATTTGAATGGCTAAACTCGTTTGGTTTACACAGTGTTTTATATTAATTACAACAATAATAATAATAATAATTAAGAACAGTTTAACTCACCTCCTGTGGCACCAAAGACTCCACAAAGAATGCTGATAGTAACATCAGGAAGCATGTTAAATGCAATTCCCAGTATAATGAAGGCAGTATTTAGTAAGGTTTGACCAATGCTGACCAGGAACACCGCTACCCAGAACAGCATCAGCATGTCCTTGTACAGCCAGAGTGGTGCCTCGTGTTCATCAGGCATGTAGACATGTACAGTACAACTCGACTCCTCCAGGTACACGGGCATTACTATCATTCCGGGAGTAACTTCTATAGTTCGTAGGTCCGATAAATTATCCACACTGCCACTCTTCCTGGCATTCCTGGCATTGGTTGTGGCTAGTATATCCACACTGCCACTCTTCCTTAACGTCCTAGTGGCTAGGTTATCAATACTCCCTGACCTCCCTGAATTCATCTCTCCCATGCCTATATCCCGAATCTTTCCGTTACAGTAAGTGTCAGTGGGCACTAGGGTATCACAGATGGTGATGGTGGGGTCACAAGCGGCCATCACTCGTAGAAGTTCTCCCCCAGTGCCCAGGTCAAGAAGGGCTGGGGCAGCACCCTCACCTCGGGCCATACGCCTGGCTCTACCCATAACAGTGTTAACTTGACGGGCACGGTACTTCGTGTACCTCTTATACCCCACCGCTGACACCACCGTCATCATTGCTGAAATTATCACATAGTTAATTATCTAGACATGTGGGTAAATACGCCGAAGAAAAGTGTGCGTAAGAGAGCATCTGGGACACAGAAAATATAGTGTAAGCACTTGACCTTTTTACAATTACAATTTTTACAATTAACCCAAAATGTGCTCATACCCCTTTCATCAGACTGTGGAAATCCTCACCATCGTTTTTACTTTACATATGGATAGCTAGGAACACAAGTGGTACTTTATTCTAATTGTTCAGAGATCGAGAACCATAACCCCATTATTTGTTACCTATACCCCTAGTTAAGAACTCCTGGTATATATAAACCCATTATATTCGTAAATAGAACAGATACCATCATAAACAAAACAGATGGTGGTAATGTTGAAGATATCACACAGGTGTATAACAACAAATATTATAAACAGAACAGGTGATAACATCAAGAAAGTGAACTAGAGAAGCGAACCTCCCACGAGTATAAGAGTAGAGCCCACAACAGCAGCAGCAGTGCCGGAACCATCCACAGCCATGGTCACAACCCCTTCAAACACAGTACTGCTCCCCGTGGCCATCCCAACGATGGCTGCACGCTGAAATACATATATATATACTTACATTAACTGAGTACGTATTTTTCTACCTATACAAACTTATGGTATATAAAGTTGCTATCCCATTCAGCCCTATCAAGTTGAAAGTTGCCTCCCTATGCAGGCCTACAAGGGGTAAATTTGCTATCCCCCTGTAAGCCTCTAATAATTAAAATTTCTATCCCTTGTAGGTTTACAGTGGGTAAAGTAGGTCTATAAAGAGGAAAGCAGAATTACACTTGCCGCTGGTACATACACTGCATTACTATATACATCTAATGTAATTCATATCGTTTATTACAGAGGGACACAAAAACATGAGAAAACATAATAGTAGACCCGTATAAATTTTGGAAGTTACCGTAGTAACACATTTAGCACAGTAAAACACCCGTGTACCGAAAGAAGTATAATACAGGGTATTTCAAAGCCATGTACCCAATTTGAAGTCTCTAATGCTCTGAAATCGGCCCCATCTCTTTGAAATACCCTATATCATCCAATAACTTTTTTTACACGCTAAGAAAAAAAAAGACATGCTAAGAAATTTTCCTGGCGAAACCCTCTGATAATAGCTACATGTGACCGAGATATAAAACATTTAGAAAATACTATAAAGTAGTAATGGATTTACAGGCTGAGAGTATGGTGATTATGTACCTCCTAGAATGCCAACCATAACAGCAGACTAATAACCAGGTACCTATTTACTGCTAAATCAACAGGAACAGCAGGTATGAGGAGACTTACCCATGCATCCCAACTAGCCTGGAATTGAATCCGGGTCCCTTCAGTTGTATGCCAGTTCTACCACTGGGCTACAGTTCTGAACAAGTGCCAAGCATTTTTAATATACTCGTCACGGTTGGCTAATGGAGCTAATGGGTCATTAAGGCTGCATGTCACCTATTCACCGCCAGACTAAATACTTGAATCTCTAAGAAGCCGTGAGAGGAATCCAGCACTGAAATCCTTTAGAAGTAAATCTGAAGGTCCATGGTGCAAATATAGAAGAAAGAGTGCATATGCCCTATTTAAATGTGCAATTTAAGGCCTTTTTTCATTAAAATGCTTCGAAATGTGCATTGTGGGTAGTGCATAAGACAGGTTGTGAGTGGAAATGCTGATACTCACAATAATTATGCTGCCTCGTTGTCCCAGGCATTAGAAAGAATAATTCAGAATCTTGTTTTTAGTGTAGTATAGTGGCTTCCCGTCCTGTCAAAATCAGGGTTATTTCTCAAAGTGCTTGCAAACGTAATGACAAGATTACAAACAAACTATACCACGGGTGGGGTTTGAACCCGCGACGATCTGGAGTTTTGAGACTCTCTGACCGTGGATTCAAACCCCACCCGTGGTATAGTTTGCGCTTCAAAAAATCCGTCCATATTAATTAATGTAAAGAAAAGATACTTGCCAGAAAAACTTGTATTGGGATAATGTTAGGTTCCCGAAATGTGTTTACATACTAGTGGCTTATTTCTGCCTAACAATGTTTTATGTAAATTACATCAAATTCCCACAGCAAAACCACATGATAAAGCTCTACCCAGAGGAAAGTATTGCTCCATTAAAACTTTATAAAGACCAAAACGTTCTGGTAAGCGTACACTGGCACAGCCATAATTTCTATCTGGAAGAAGTTAAAAAATCGTAAGATACTGACCCAAAAAAAGGAATCCCTTTTAATAAATATGATTTTCAGTAATTAAATCTGATACAGTAATTAATCCAAATAGCCTACTGACGAATAGTGAAGACTAGTGTAGTGGCGCTGCCTAGTGGGGGGAGGAGAGGCCTATAACGAGGCTAAAACTCCCATTTTAAAATTAATGGGTAATTTTTTACTGTTGGCTGGTGGCCACCAAAAAAATCACGATAGTTTGAGAAATTTCACATATGACCTGTTGACTACAAGTTCCTGTAGAGTCCGAGGAAGGAACTTGGCAAGTTCCTGTAGAGTCCGAGGAAGGAACTTGGCAAGTTCCTGTAGAGTCCGAGGAAGGAACTTGGCAAGTTCCTGTAGACTCCGAGGAAGGAACTTGGCAAGTTCCTGTAGAGTCCGAGGAAGGAACTTGACAAGTTTCCTGTAGAGTCCGAGGAAGGAACTTGGCAAGTTCCTGTAGACTCCGAGGAAGGAACTTGGCAAGTTTCCTGTAGAGTCCGAGGAAGGAACTTGGCAAGTTCCTGTAGACTCCGAGGAAGGAACTTGGCAAGTTTCCTGTAGACTCCGAGGAAGGAACTTGGCAAGTTCCTGTAGAGTCCGAGGAAGGAACTTGGCAAGTTCCTGTAGACTCCGAGGAAGGAACTTGGCAAGTTTCCTGTAGACTCCGAGGAAGGAACTTGGCAAGTTCCTGTAGACTCCGAGGAAGGAACTTGGCAAGTTCCTGTAGACTCCGAGGAAGGAGCTTGGCAAGTTCCTGTAGACTCCGAGGAAGGAACTTGGCAAGTTCCTGTAGATTCCGAGGAAGGAGCTTGGCAAGTTCCTGTAGACTCCGAGGAAGGAACTTGGCAAGTTCCTGTAGAGTCCGAGGAAGGAACTTGGCAAGTTCTTGTAGACTCCGAGGAAGGAGCTTGGCAAGTTCCTGTAGAGTCCGAGGAAGGAACTTGGCAAGTTCCTGCAGACTCCGAGGAAGGAGCTTGGCAAGTTCCTGTAGACTCCGAGGAAGGAACTTGGCAAGTTCCTGTAGACTCCGAGGAAGGAACTTGGCAAGTTCCTGTAGACTCCGAGGAAGGAACTTGGCAAGTTCCTGTAGACTCCGAGGAAGGAACTTGGCAAGTTCCTGTAGACTCCGAGGAAGGAACTTGGCAAGTTCCTGTAGACTCCGAGGAAGGAACTTGGCAAGTTCCTGTAGACTCCGAGGAAGGAACTTGGCAAGTTTCCTGTAGAGTCCGAGGAAGGAACTTGGCAAGTTCCTGTAGACTCCGAGGAAGGAACTTGGCAAGTTTCCTGTAGAGTCCGAGGAAGGAACTTGGCAAGTTCCTGTAGACTCCGAGGAAGGAACTTGGCAAGTTCCTGTAGACTCCGAGGAAGGAACTCGGCAAGTTCCTGTAGACTCCGAGGAAGGAACTTGGCAAGTTCCTGTAGAGTCCGAGGAAGGAACTCGGCAAGTTCCTGTAGACTCCGAGGAAGGAACTTGGCAAGTTCCTGTAGACTCCGAGAAAGGAACTTGGCAAGTTCCTGTAGACTCCGAGGAAGGAACTTGGCAAGTTTCCTGTAGAGTCCGAGGAAGGAACTTGGCAAGTTCCTGTAGACTCCGAGGAAGGAACTTGGCAAGTTCCTGTAGATTCCGAGGAAGGAACTCGGCAAGTTCCTGTAGACTCCGAGGAAGGAACTTGGCAAGTTCCTGTAGACTCCGAGGAAGGAAACTCGGCAAGTTCCTGTAGACTCCGAGGAAGGAACTTGGCAAGTTCCTGTAGACTCCGAGGAAGGAACTTGGCAAGTTCCTGTAGACTCCGAGGAAGGAACTTGGCAAGTTCCTGTAGACTCCGAGGAAGGAACTTGGCAAGTTCCTGTAGACTCCGAGGAAGGAAACTTGGCAAGTTCCTGTAGACTCCGAGGAAGGAACTTGGCAAGTTCCTGTAGACTCCGAGGAAGGAACTTGGCAAGTTCCTGTAGACTCCGAGGAAGGAACTTGGCAAGTTCCTGTAGATTCCGAGGAAGGAACTTGGCAAGTTCCTGTAGACTCCGAGGAAGGAACTTGGCAAGTTCCTGTAGATTCCGAGGAAGGAACTTGGCAAGTTCCTGTAGATTCCGAAGAGGGAACTTATATTATCAGTAATTATTAATATTATTATTTTCATTTTAGAGGAGAAGTACGTTGATGTTGTGAATGGCTCTAGATCTAAAGTATTTAGAGCTATCTATGCATTCCATGAATCGAACCTGATTACCTTCCGTTTCTGAGATGCAGTGTGACCCCTACGCGTTTAGAGCCTCCCCATAATCAAAATGTCCTGGGCCCAAGACTGTTCAACAGCCTCCCACCAGGCATAAGGGGAATTACCAATAGACCCCTGGCTGTCTTCAAGAGGGGGCTGGACAGATACCTAATGTTAGTACCTGACCAGCCGGGCGGTGGTTCGTACGTTGGTTTACGGGTGGCCAGCAGTAAGAGCCTGGTTGATCAGGTCCTGATCCACCACGAGGCCTGGTTATGGACCGGGCCGCGGGGGCGATGACCCCCAGAATACCCTCCAGGTAATGAAAATAACAAATATGTATTATTATTATTATTATTATTATTATTATTATTATTATTATTATTATTATCATTATTATTATTATTATTTACAGGGAAAGCGTTAAACCAATAAGGGCTATACAGCTCCTGGGGTATGAAAGGTAATTAGGTTTAATCCATGACAGAAGAGGGTAGCTCCAGTTCCTTGAATCAAGAGACCTTCAGCATCAAGACACCCAACTGGAAGGGAACAAACTGTACAGTATCATCCGAGTTTTAACCCGAATTACACGGGACGAATCCGGGTTCATACTTGTATACGACACCTTGTCTACTTCTCACGGGTTTGTTGTGGTTACACTTCCTCAGTCGGCATAAGCCGTAGTAGCCCTTAAAAATAACTAATTACAAGTGATACGAATATACACGTTATACTTATACATACACGTATTATACTGATTTATATACAGGTTGTACTCATACATATGTACTCACCTAATTGTACTCACCTAATTGTGGTTGCAGGGGTCGAGACTTAGCTCCTGGCCCCGCCTCTTCACTGATCGCTACTGGGTCCTCTCTCTGCTTCCTGAGCTTTGTCATACCTCTTCTTAAAACTATGTATGGTTCCTGCCTCCACTACACATGCATGCAGAGCAACCACTGTGGAAAATAGTGAACTTCCAAGCGCTTTCGTGATTTCTCACATAGTTCCTCGATTATGTGAGAAACCACGAAAGCGCTAGGAAGTTCACTATTTTTTCACAGTGGTTGTTCTGTATATTGTGATATACATATATATGTGTATATACACATATATGTGTATACAGTCTTGCCCGTACACTCACCTTGAAGCCTCTTTTAATGAGGACATCTGTTACCTCGCTGGGGGTGGTGGACATGACTCCTCTCGCGAAGATCTTCACTTTGGCGTCTGAGAGAGGACGGATGGAGGAACAACAGTGCCCTGGTAGCAGGGGTGAGGGGCTAAGCCGATGTACACGACCACGGTGGTATCACAGGACCACGGTGGTATCACAGGACCACGGTGATGTTACAGGACCACGGTGGTATCACAGGACCACGGTGGTATCACAGGGCCACGGTGGTATCACAGGACCACGGTGATGTTACAGGACCACGGTGGTATCACAGGACCACGGTGATGTTACAGGACCACGGTGGTATCACAGGACCACGGTGATGTTACAGGACCACGGTGGTATCACAGAACCACGGTGATGTTACAGGACCACAGTGGTATCACAGGACCACGGTGGTATCACAGGACCACGGTGGTATCACAGGACCACGGTGATGTTACAGGACCACGGTGGTATCACAGGACCACGGTGATGTTACAGGACCACGGTGGTATCACAGGACCACGGTGATGTTACAGGACCACGGTGGTATCACAGGACCACGGTGGTATAACAGGACCACGGTGGTATCACAGGACCACGGTGGTATAACAGGACCACGGTGGTATCACAGGACCACGGTGGTATCACAGGACCACGGTGGTATAACAGGACCACGGTGGTATCACAGGACCACGGTGGTATCACAGGACCACGGTGGTATCACAGGACCACGGTGGTGTCACAGGACCACGATGGTATCATAGGACCACGGTGGTATCACAGGACCACGGTGGTATCACAGGACCACGGTGGTATAACAGGACCACGGTGGTATCACAGGACCACGGTGGTATCACAGGACCACGGTGGTGTCACAGGACCACGGTGGTATCACAGGACCACGGTGGTATCACAGGACCACGATGGTATCACAGGACCACGGTGGTATCACAGGACCACGGTGGTATCACAGGACCACGGTGATGTTACAGGACCACGGTGGTATCACAGGACCACGGTGGTATCACAGGACCACGGTGGTATCACATTACCACAGTGGTATCACAGGACCACGGTTGTATCCCAGGACCACGGTGGTATCACAGGACCACGGTGGTATCACAGGACCACGGTGGTATCACAGGATCACGGTGGTATCACAGGACCACGGTGGTATCACAGGACCACGGTGGTATCACAGGACCACGGTGGTATCACAGGACCACGGTGGTATCACAGGACCACGGTGGTATCACAGGACCACGGTGGTATCACAGGACCACGGTGGTATCACAGGACAACGGTAATGTTACACGACTACGGTGGTATCAAAGAACCACGGTGAGGTTACAGGACCACGGTGGTATCACAGGACCACGGTGGTGTTACAGACCATGATGGTATCACAAGTCCACGGTGGTATCACAGGACCACGGTGGTATCACAGAACCACGGTGGTATCACAGGGCCACGGTGGTATCACAGGACCTAGGTGCTACCACAGTAACGACGAGAGGTTGATGTGTCGGTGAGGCGTCCACTCGGAATCCAACTATACTGTCTACTGAGTATGTATCAAATGCAAGGTCTATATATCCCGCCTCCAAGTTCAAGTTCTTCGTGTTCCAGTTCTCCAAATTCAAGTTATAAATCTCCTAACTTCGTTTTCGAGATGGGTATCTCTCACCTCAAACACCACGGATCATGTGTTGACATTTAGACATATTCAGTACAAGTGCCAAGAATCACCTGTATGTTGACACCAACAATGTTCGGATACTTCATGAAGGCCAAAGAAACTTAAATTCACGAAACAATGAAGTTTAACACCTGAAAACAGACATTAATAATGAATATCTTAAGGCATGACGTCCTGATAACTAAATTTCTCACAGGATGGGTATGGGGCGCTTAAAAAAAGATATTGAAAAGAAATCTAAAAGTAATTAACTAATCAATCATTATGCTCTGAATGTTTTATTAGATATCATGACACGATGAGTGCATAGTGTGTCTACAGGGAAGGAGTGTGGCAGCCTATATGTATAAATAGCCAGTGAAGATTACAACTAGCGAGTGACGTCTCGGTGGAGCCTGACATTGTAAGCACATGACGTCGGTCAACTTTGTTTCAGTAAACCCATGTTAAGTTTATTCAGGAATAGCTACACATAGTTACATAAATTATTTTTTTCAGTAACCATTAAATGGTTGGGGGGCCTTTATGTGAGTTAAGGGTTTTTGAATCCAAGGAACTGAAGTTACATTACCCTTTGGATCAAACCTGATTACCTTCCATCCTCCAGGCACTGTTTGTCCCATACGGATTTAGTGCTTCCCCGTGCTTGTAATAATTAATTAGATAATGAAATCTGCAGAGTGGAAAATAGTGGAGGTTGCAGAAGCCAGTTCCACTCTTTGGTTTATGAAGTTTTAAGCCTATCGACTACAAGAGGATAATTATGGCTCATGTTTACCCAAGTGAAGATTTTTTTTAATGTATGTAAACCTCTCAGTGTATATATTCTGATGCATACACCTCTGGGTATATATACACATATATCTATAGAGGTATATACACTGATAGGCACACTTCTCGGTGTAAATACTCTTGAGATATACACCTCAAATGTATATACACTGAAAGACATACACCTCTTAGTATATATAGCCCTGAGATTCAGGCCGTGTACCAGGGTATATTCTACACAGTATAATCTTAGTGATACCCAGCTGCCACACCCACACCTTACATAGAACGTCCAACTATACACGAGTGCTTAGCAATATGATAAATGTCAGCCATACTGTTGCAAGTGTGTTGGATATCAGTAATGGTTATAATCATAAGCATGATTTTTAGAGAGGTGGAGGGGTAAGCCAGCTAAAGGCCTCAGGCAGGTGACCAACAGCTCCAGCTGTGGGTCATAACTAAGACCCGAGTCTGGAAACACTTGTCCTGTTTCCTGACTAACCTGACCTAACCTAACCTATGGTTTTCACTCTCTAATCCTAGGTGATGCCAGTGTATTAGGTATTCCAATGAAAATAAGTCACTTTGACTTTTGGGGGAGTGTTATCCCTGTTAATTTACACTGTGTACCTGTGTACCTGTACCTAAATAACCTTACACTCTGGACCCAACATGATTATCTTCCCAGTCCTCCTCCATGCCCGAAGGGTCGCATATCTGGAGTTTACCTGGAGTTTACCTGGAGAGAGTTCCGGGGGTCAACGCCCCCGCGGCCCGGTCTGAGACCAGGCCTCCTGGTGGATCAGAGCCTGATCAACCAGGCTGTTGCTGCTGGCTGCACGCAAACCAACATACGAGCCACAGCCCGGCTGATCCGGAACTGACTTTAGGTGCTTGTCCAGTGCCAGCTTGAAGACTGCCAAACTTGGTCTATCTCTTGAGCATTTAAATTTTCGTGTCTTAGCCGGGTATATTCACAGTCTCCAGCACCTGCTAAATCCTCCACATAAAGTTTTCCCAGATATACTCCAAGGGCACTGCCATCACGTCCCACCTCATCATTCGCTGTTATTTCCATCTCCCAAAGTAGGCTATGAACTTCAGAAATTCGAATCCCACATCCCATTATGTTTCGTGTACAGCAATGGTTGTATTGCTTTTCTGACAAGCGGAAAATATTTAACTTTAGATATCTGAAATACCCTGACGCACTGTAACTGACCTATTGTAAGTTTATTCAGGTATACACAAATACAGTTACATAGATTATCATACATAGCAGCATATGTGTGTAGAGAACCTAGGATAACCCAAAAAAGTCAGAGTGACTTATTTCAATGTTCACTTCAGTCATGCACTCACATTACCTGCTACCCTAACACACTCCAAACCTATACTGTATTATTTAATATATTACTAATAACTTCATGAATATTAGGTTAGGTTAGGTTAGGGCAGGTCAGTCAGGAAACAGGACAAGTGTTTCCTGACGCGGGTCTCAAGTATATGATGACCCACAGCTGGAGCTTATGGTCATCTAACCGAGGCCTATACTCCAGGTAGGCCTTCCACTGGCTTATCAGTCCACCCCTTTAAAAATTATGGTAATGAGATATCTGAAATCTTGTTGCAAAATTTACACTTTAAATCACCCAGATATATCAACTACAACACAAGATTACATTGCACGTAATAACCCAGTGTCTTCATTATTAAATATTATAGATCGTATCTGAATGTGGCATAAAGTGGATAATTCAATGATAAGACTGTAGCATATGAATTTAAATCCAAAAGAAATATCTATACCAGAACTGGTTGGATAAAATCCCATTAAACTCTATAATCCTGTCCATTTGTGTCCCTGTTCAAGGAATCAGCTGCAGGTACATAATAAATCATCATTTTGGTACTACAAATATTTTGTTATTATATTTTTACAGGAGCAAAAATGATAGTGATAACAATGACTTATATAACTCAGATACAGCTGCCGTAGGTCAGTGACAATATGGCAAAAAATGAGAATAATTATACGAAGTATTACCGTGAGAGTTAAGAAAATATACACGGTAATAATGGCAGAATTACCAGCTTGACGAAACTGCTGGAGAGCGAAACGTTGCCTAAATAAAATGTCACATTAGTTGTATCTGTGTCCTTTTACCTGGCAGAATAAAGGTGATGATAGAACTAGGATTTAAGCTGTAAATTATGTTTAAATAATTAGTTAATGTATATTTACCAGCTTGGAACCCAGATTATGCCATGTTTCATAGCCTTGACTGATTATTATAATCACGGGGAGAGCTAAACCCGCAGGGATTATACAGGGCCTGTGAGGGAAGAGATGGAAGGTATTCAGGGAACTGGAGCACAGATCCAATTCCCTAGATCAAGAGCCCCTCACCAGCATCAAAGAAGGGAGGGTACATTTACCAGCTTTCACTGACGAGTTGAAAATAATTATATTTAGGCCTATATTCACTACTCACAACCTTCTGTTATGCCTAATTATATAATTCACTAAAACGCAGACATATATAATTCACTATAATATTTTTCTTTACACATAAGTATATTTACGATATTTTGGAATTATATGGACAAGTCCCTCTCCTTCCTGAGTCAATTCTTGATATTATGAGAGATTTATATTGGTCCAAATTATATAAATGGGACTATAGTGTCACCTTATCACACACTGGTATTATCTAATAGCATTTACAGTTATGTCATTATATTTAACTAAATATAATTGCGATTTCGTCTCATGGTTATTTATCTGGCAAGGGCCCAAGGTCCTTTACTTATCTGAAAATAGTCAATAATCCACACTGATTTGGCCTCGTGGCTGATTCCATATACACTTTACAAACACCTCTTGCCTTTGTCCATATCCACTAGCTTGCCACTCGCATAATATTGGTAAATAAGGTGAAAAAATCAGTGGAATGAAGACTTTCTGACTGCCGTAATATTTTGTTTACACGTGGACTGCCCATCCTGCCCGCGCAGGCTACCATTATCTTATCTTTCACTATTATCTACCCTATCCTACACATTTATGCATATATAGGTGGATCCGTACATAACCTTTGCTGTGTTCTATCTATGCCAAAAGGTTAAGGTCATCCACAACAATTATATATAAGCCAAATTTGGTCATCCGGCATCTGGCAGGCTGGCCATAATATTGACGTTAGAGGAGGCTTGAGAGTGCCAAATTTAATTACATCTTATTCTTTGATTTCAATGTAATCTGAGAGATATTTGAATTCATGTGTTTTGTAGGATGTAAATACTATGATAACTACATATATCCGTTACCGAATTATTTTGAAAACTTGAGTTCAGAGGGGAAAAATTTAGCAATTGCAATTCGTAGATCGTGGCGGTATTTTTAAAATTGGAATCAGCACAGACCAGCATTCTCCCATTTAATCTGATAAAAAGAATATCTCCCATGCATGTAATGGGTCATATATTGCACGAATGTTGCATAACAGGGACCACATCTATGCATGAATGTGGCTACCCTGGTCTATATGAAAGTTTAAGGGATTAAAACTAAAATGTTATTGTGTTAAACTCACACCCCTGTCACATAAGTTTATTCAGGTATACACAAATACAGTTACATAGATTATCATACATAGCAGCATATGTGTAGAGAACCTGGGATAACCCAAAAAAGTCAACGTGACTTATTTCCACTGGGGTCGTTTTAATACCTCATTATACTATAAAGGAGATAATATCTTATTATAATGATACTGGATTGTACGTAGGTACTACCTTGTAGGTTAGTTGGTACCTCGTGGGTACGTAGGTACCATATACCTCAGGTACCATATAATAGGTCACCAGGTACCATATAATAAATCACCAGGTACCATATAATAAATCACCAGGTACCTTATTCGCCAGGGGCCTCGATCAGCAGGTGCCATATAGGTCAGCAGGTATCATAAATATCAACAGATACCATACAGTAGGTCAGCGGGTACTATACATGTCAGCAGGTACCATATAATTGTTCACCATGTACCATACACGTCAACATATACCAGGTACCAGGTCACCAGGTACCACATAGGCCATAGATCAGCAGGATAACAGCTCCTAGCATATATAATTTTATTTAGGGAAAGCGCTAAACACGCAGGGTGGTATCCAGTGCCTGGAAAATGGGAAGAGTGGCCCGGTGGCCTGGTGGCTAAAGCTCCCGCTTCACACACGGAGGGCCCGGGTTCGATTCCCGGCGGGTGGAAACATTTTGACACGTTTCCTTACACCTGTTGTCCTGTTCACCTAGCAGCAAATAGGTACCTGGATGTTAGTCGACTGGTGTGGGTCGCATCCTGGGGGACAAGATTAAGGACCCCAATGGAAATAAGTTAGACAGTCCTCGATGACGCACTGACTTTCTTGGGTTATCCTGGGTGGCTAACCCTCCGGGGTTAAAAATCCGAACGAAATCTTATCTCTTATCTTATCTTATTTCTCAAGGATATTGAAAACACGATCGACCAATATTCCTTTCCAGCAGTGAAGGTCTTCCTATGAGGGTCTTAGCCCGTAAATAAACAGAAGTAGGATCAGGTGAGGTTCATTAATGTTCAAAAGGGGATCTCGATCCAAGGAAGAGGCTTTGATTCCTCGGATTAAGAGGCCTTCACAGGCAATTTCACAAAGGACCAACAGTTAGCATATTTCGTTTGTGGTTTTGAGATGGCTAAACCCATCGGAGTCACAGCCCCAGGGTAATGAGAGGCAATCAGGTTCAGTCCAAAGGAGCAATCAGGTTCAACCCAAGAAAAGGTTAAGTTCAGTTTATCTTAATCAAGAGCCTCTGGCCAGCATTAAGGCACCTTCCTTGAGAAGAATATATAAACACAATCTCATGTTTTTTTTTAGAATTATTATCAGTGGTATCATCATTATCTTCACCACCATCATCATCTTTATCATTATTGTCATTATCAGCTTTATTATCATCATTGAAATGTTCAAACTTCATTGTTACAATAAATAACAAAAAAGGTACAATACCGTGACTGGAACGATACACAAATAACCCGAAACGTCGTCGTAAGCTTCTCTCTTTTATGTGCGGGTTATTTGTGTATTCATTGTTACAAATACTACTCAATTGTACTTCATATCGTAAACTGTTTACGGTAATTTTTACCACTGAATCTATCATTTCTTAGTTAATTTTAAGTTAGTTTTAAATCTGCCCATAATGCTCTGCATACAAGGGGCTTTTGACATGTACACCCAACTACTATAATTCCTTGTACAACTCTGTATCATGTCCAAATAAAGTATTGTATTGTATTGTATCTACACCAATGCTCAATAATAACCCACATGGGTTGTAACAGAAGTGAATGCTAGGGTGTTGGCAAGAAGTTTGGGGTTAAAAGACAATGAATCTAACACAAAGTGGGAGTTGTCACAGTTGCTCTTTGCTGATGACACTGTGCTTTTGGGAGATTCTGAAGAGAAGTTCCAGAGGTTGGTGGATGAATTTGGTAGGGTATGTAAAATAAGAAAATTAACAGCGAATATAGGAAAGAGTAAGGTGGTGATAACAAAAAAAAATCAGTAATGAAAGATTGGATATCAGGTTGGAGGGAGAGAGTATTCAGATACTATTTAGGAGTGGATGTGTCAACAGATGGGTCTATGAAAGGTGAGGAGAATCATAAAACTGATTAAGGGATAAAGGTGTGTGGTGCACTGAGGAGTCTGTGGAGACAAAGAACTTTGTCCATGGAAGCAAAGAGGGAAATGTATGAGAGTATAGTTATACCAAAGCTCTTATATGAGTGTGAAGCATGGGTGGTGAATGCTACAACAAGGAGAAGGCTGGAGGCAGTGGAGATATCATGTCTGAGGGCAATGTGTGGTGTGAACATAATGCACAGAATTTGTAGGAGGTGCAGGATTACCAAAACTATTATCCAGAGGGCTGAGGAGGGATTGTTGAGGTAGTTTGGACATGTAGAGAGGGTGGAACAAAATAGAATGACTTTGAGAGTGTATAACTCTGTAGTGGAGGAAAGGCGGGGTAGAGGTCAGCCTAGGAAAGGTTGGAGGGAGGGGGTAAAGGAGGTTTTGTGTGTGAGGGGATTGGACTTCCAGCAAGCATGCGTGAGCATGTTACATAGGAGCGAATGGAGACAAATGGTTTTTAGAACTTGATGTGCTGTTGGAGTGTGAGCAGCATAATCTCTGTGAAGGGATTCAGGGAAACTGGCAGGCCAGACTTGAGTCCTGAAGATGGGAACTACAGTGCCTGCACTCTGAAGGAAGGGTGTTAATGTTGCAGTTTTATAACTGTAGTGTAAGTGTGCCTCTGGCCAGACAGTAATGGAGTGAATGATAGTGAAAGTTTATCTTTTTCGGGCCACCCTGCCTTGTTAATAAAATAAATAATAAAAATGGAGACAAACTCAGATTAATTGGTTTGCACATTTCGATCCCCTTCTGGGATCCTCTTCAGCAAATACATTTCATATGTATCTGCTGAAGAGGTGAATTTAGGATTTTAATGTCACTATATGTGGTGCTTCTTAAATACAGTGGACCCCCGGTTTATGATATTATTTCATTCCAGAAGTATGTTCAGGTGCCAGTACTGAACGAATTTGTTCCCATAAGGAATATTGTGAAGTAGATTAGTCCATTTCAGACCCCCAAACATACACGTACAAACGCACTTACATAAATACACTTACATAATTGGTCACATTGGGAGCTGATCGTAAAGCGGGGGTCCACTGTATTTGTTTTTGAATTAAAGGGGAAGTGCTAAACCCAAGGAAAGGGAGCACATAACCAATATTTCAGATGATTATTATAATCGAAATTAAGCGCTAACCCAACCATTTTTTTTTTGATCAAGAGCCCCTGACCAGCATCAAGGTGTCTCTGTAGCTTGGTTGGTAGTGCACTCAGCTCACACACTGAGTGTCCGTGGTCGACCCCTGGTACAAGTGGAAACATTGAGAGTGTTTCCATACACATGCTGTCCCTGTTCACCTAGCAGTAAGTAGGTAACTGGGCATTAGCCGACTGGTGTGTCACATCCTGGGTACAAAATTAACCTAAGTTGCAGGAAATGCTCTTCATCACAAGGGTCTTTCTAAATAGTATGCCATTCATGTCAGTTATGGTCTGTATAAATTGTATCACATACTTGTAGAAATTCTAGGTAGTAGGTTGGTAGACAGCAACCGCCCAGGGAGGTACTACCGTCCTGCCAAGTGAGTGTAAAACGAAAGCCTGTAATTGTTTTACATGATGGTAGGATTGCTGATGCCCTTTTTTCTGTCTCATAAACATGCAAGATTTCAGGTACATCTTGCTACTTCTACTTAAACTTAGGTCAAACTACACATACATGTACAAGCATATATATACACACCCTTCTGGGTTTTCTTCTATTTTCTTTCTAGTTCTTGTTTATTTCCTATTGTCTCCATTGGCAAGTGGAACAGAATTCTTCCTCCGTAAGCCATGCATGTTGTAAGAGGCGACTAAACTGCCAGGAGCAAGGGGCTAGTAACCCCTTCTGTATATATTATTAAATTTAAAAAGAGAAACTTGTTTTTCTTTTTGGGCCACCCTGCCAGCTTTGTTGAAAGAAAGAACTTGTAGAAATAAAGATTATTATTGAGCCTCCACTAAGGAGGGAAGAGCTTCTTAAGAGGTCAGCAAATGTCCAAAGAGCAGTCAGGTAAAATCTTCCATAACCAGTAATGAAGTAGAGTTATTGACCGGATACCCAGGTATGGTTGCATAATTAACAGCCTACCAGACTTACTAACATCAGGAACATTACAGCTGTTCATATAGTCGGAAACAATCTTATTTATTCAGAGAACTTTTTTTTTTCCAACGAACCGGCCATATCCCACCGAGGTGAGGCGACATAAAAAAAGAAAACCAAAAAGTTGTTCTTTTTAATTTAGTAATTTATACAGAAAGGGTTACTAGCCCCTTGCTTTTGGAATTATTATTATTGTGGTCAATTTAAGTGCTAAACCCATAAGGGTCATACAGCGTTGCTGAGAGAACAGGTTTCACAGAACAGCACTTATGGACAAGAACATCTCTCATTGTATCCCAAATGTTTTTTATGCATATTACATTTATTGAGGAGAGCATTAAACCTGTAGGGAGTCACTGCTAGGTCGATCAAATCTGATCCAAGGGAGTGCAGCTCTAATTCCTTGGATCGTGAGCCATTCACCAACAACAAAGCATCTCCTTTGAATCATTTTTATTCATAAAATTTTGCTAATTTTCAAACTGGTATTCAATAAAATCTAAACAAGATGGGAATCATTATACAGCATAAATAAGATAATTATAAATTATTTTTAAAGGAATGGATTGATAAACCAGTGGAAGGCCTCAATCAGATGACCAAAAGCTCCAGTGGCAGGTCATCATATGAGTAAGACTACTACTGCTACTACTAAACATAGTAGTACTGTGGTAGTACGTCACAAAGTGCTTGTATTTTGCAGCCAACTCACAAAACAATTACACATTAATTTAGTCTATACAATTATAATTATTATAATTATAACCAAGTGCTAAACCCACAAATCATAGAGTTGGGCTATACAAGCCGAGGTTGTTTCAGCTCCTCTGGTCGCTTGTGTCGCTTGTATATTAGCACACAACTCTTGCTTGCTTGTACCACATCAGGAAATACTCATTTCCTGACGAATCTTACCTAACCTAACCTGCAGTATTCAAAGAAAACAGTATTAATCCATTGCTACAAGGAGAAGGTTTTCATTTTTATTCATAAAAAGTAGCACAAATATCAGTTTAAAGTATATAAAGTACGTATATATATTGTTGTGTATCTTTATATGTGTATACTTCTAAACTGTTGTATTCTGAGCACCTCTGCAAAAACAGTGATAATGTGTGAGTGTGGTGAAAGTGTTGAATGATGATGAAAGTATTTTCTTTTTGGGGATTTTCTTTCTTTTTTGGGTCACCCTGCCTCGGTGGGAGACGGCTGACTTGTTGAAAAAAAAAAAAAAAATTCTGCAATAAAGGTTAACAATACATATGCTATTCATAATTGCATTTTATTTCCTTACATTGCAAATTCAAAGATTACATGGTATTATCTAATTTTTTAGACTTCTTCTTCTTCTTCTTCTTCTTCTTCGTTGGTAAATCTAAAAACATGTCATCACTCTCATAATCATTATCTACACTGGAGTCTTGATGTGATTTTTTACATTTTTTGTGTCTAGACTTTTTGTCCTTGTTTTTGTGCATCACGGCAGCATCTAGAGAGAAATCGACACCAGTTGCTTCAGCCTCCTCAATCTGACTGACATCATTGCTGTGCTGAGAACCAAACTTTTTCTTCTTTTTCCTTTTCGAAACCTGAGTCAGTTCTCCGTCGTTTTCCTCGACAACTGTCCTTTTCCTTGCTACATTACCTGCAAGATTAAAGATCATATGAAGTAAAAATTATTATAACTACATGCACACATGCAATACTGCTCAAAAAATTAACATAAATGGCCCGGTGGCCTGGTGGCTAAAGCTCCCGCTTCACACACGGTGGGCCCGGGTTCGATTCCCGGCGGGTGGAAACATTTCGACACGTTTCCTTACACCTGTTGTCCTGTTCACCTAGCAGCAAATAGGTACCTGGGTGTTAGTCGACTGGTGTGGGTCGCATCCTGGGGGACAAGATTAAGGACCCCAATGGAAATAAGTTAGACAGTCCTCGATGACGCACTGACTTTCTTGGGTTATCCTGGGTGGCTAACCCTCCGGGGTTAAAAATCCGAACGAAATCTTATCTTAACATTTCCAATTTTATTTTATAAAACGTGTAAAATTTTAATGCACATACTTTAAAGGAGGGGATATATATATTGGCAGTTTGGAAGGATATGTTGTGTATCTTTATATGTGTATGCTTCTAGACTGTTATATTCTGAGCACCTCTGCAAAAAGCAGTGATAATGTGCGAGTGTGGTGAAAGTGTTGAATGATGATGAAAGTATTTTCTTTTTGGGGATTTTCTTTCTTTTTTTGGGTCACCCTGCCTCGGTGGGAGATGGCCGACTTGTTGAAAAAAAAAAAAAAAAAAAAAAAAAAAAACTTTAAATTTACAAAACTACCATGTTATAGGTAATACATATTTTAAGAAAAAGAGGATAAATAAGTATACACGATATGATGTAGGGCGAAATGACAGTAGTTTGTTGGATTATGTATTGTAGATAAAAGACTGTTGAGTAGACTTCAGGATGTAATGTTTATAGAGGGGCCACAGATATATCAGATCACTTTCTAGTTGTAGCTACACTGAGAGTAAAAGGTAGATGGGATACAAGGAGAATAGAAGCATCAGGGAAGAGAGAGGTGAAGGTTTATAAACTAAAAGAGGAGGCAGTTAGGGTAAGATATAAACAGCTATTGGAGGATAGATGGGCTAATGAGAGCATAGGCAATGGGGTCGAAGAGGTATGGGGTAGGTTTAAAAATGTAGTGTTAGAGTGTTCAGCAAAAAGTTTGTGGTTACAGGAAATGGGTGCAGGAGGGAAGAGGAGCGATTGGTGGAATGATGATGTAAAGAGAGTAGTAAGGGAGAAAAAGTTGGGCATATGAGAAGTTTTTACAAAGTAGAAGTGATGCAAGGAGGGAAGAGTATATGGAGAAAAGAGAGAGTTAAGAGAGTGGTGAAGAAATGTAAAAAGAGAGCAAATGAGAGGGGTGGGTGAGATGTTATCAACAAATTTTTTTTGAAAATAAGAAAAAGTTTTGGAGTGAGATTAACAAGTTAAGAAGCCTAGAGAACAAATGGATTTGTCAGTTAAAAATAGGAGAGGAGAGTTATTAAATGGAGAGGTAGAGGTATTGGGAAGATGGAAGGAATATTTTGAGGAATTGTTAAATGTTGATGAAGATAGGGAAGCTGTGATTTCGTTGTATAGGGCAAGGAGGAATAACATCTTGTAGGAGTGAGGAAGAGCCAGTTGTGAGTGTGGGGGAAGTTCGTGAGGCAGTAGGTAAAATGAAAGGGGGTAAGGCAGCCGGGGATTGATGGGATAAAGATAGAAATGTTAAAAGCAGGTGGGGATATAGTTTTGGAGTGGTTGGTGCAATTATTTTAATAAATGTATGGAAGAGGGTAAGTACCTAGGATTAGGCAGAGAGCATGCATAGTTCCTTTGTATAAAGGCAAGGGGTAAAAGAGAGTGCAAAAATTATGGGCTGTAAGTCTGTTGAGTGTACTCTGTGTAAACGTGTATGTATGAGTTATAATTGAAAGATTAAGAGTAAGACGGAGAATAGGAATAGCAGATAACAAGGAGGCTTTAGGAAAGGTAGGGGGTGTGTGGACCAGGTGTTTACAGTGAAACATATAAGTGAAACAGTATTTAGATAAGGCTAAAGAGGTCTTTGTGGCATTTATGGATTTGGAAAAGGCGTATGACAGGGTGGATAGGGGGGCAATGTGGCAGATGTTGCAAGTGTATGGTGTAGGAGGTAGGTTACTGAAAGCAGTGAAGAGTTTTTACGAGGATAGTGAGGCTCAGTTAGAGTATGTAGGAAAGAGGGAAATTTTTTCCCAGTAAAAGTAGGCCTTAGACAAGGATGTGTGATGTCACCGTGGTTGTTTAATATATTTATAGATGGGGTTGTAAGAGAAGTAAATGCGAGGGTCTTGGCAAGAGGCGTGGAGTTAAAAGATAAAGAATCACACACAAAGTGGGAGTTGTCACAGCTGCTCTTTGCCGATGACACTGTGCTCTTGGGAGATTCTGAAGAGAAGTTGCAGAGATTGGTGGATGAATTTGGTAGGGTGTGCAAAAGAAGAAAATTAAAGGTGAATACAGGAAAGAGTAAGGTTATGAGGATAACAAAAAGATTTAGGTGATGAAAGATTGAATATCAGATTGGAGGGAGAGAGTATGGAGGAGGTGAACGTATTCAGATATTTGGGAGTGGACGTGTCAGCGGATGGGTCTATGAAAGATGAGGTGAATCATAGAATTGATGAGGGAAAAAGAGTGAGTGGTGCACTTAGGAGTCTGTGGAGACAAAGAACTTTGTCCTTGGAGGCAAAGAGGGGAATGTATGAGAGTATAGTTTTACCAACGCTCTTATATGGGTGTGAAGCGTGGGTGATGAATGTTGCAGCGAGGAGAAGGCTGGAGGCAGTGGAGATGTCATGTCTGAGGGCAATGTGTGGTGTGAATATAATGCAGAGAATTCGTAGTTTGGAAGTTAGGAGGAGGTGCGGGATTACAAAACTGTTGTCCAGAGGGCTGAGGAAGGGTTGTTGAGGTGGTTCGGACATGTAGAGAGAATGGAGCGAAACAGAATGACTTCAAGAGTGTTCAGTCTGTAGTGGAAGGAAGGCGGGGTAGGGGTCGGCCTAGGAAGGGTTGGAGGGAGGGGGTAAAGGAGGTTTTGTGTGCGAGGGGCTTGGACTTCCAGCAGGCATGCGTGAGCGTGTTTGATAGGAGTGAATGGAGACAAATGGTTTTTAATACTTGACGTGCTGTTGGAGTGTGAGCAAAGTAACATTTATGAAGGGATTCAGGGAAACCGGCAGGCCGGACTTGAGTCCTGGAGATGGGAAGTACAGTGCCTGCACTCTGAAGGAGGGGTGTTAATGTTGCAGTTTAAAAACTGTAGTGTAAAGCACCCTTCTGGCAAGACAGTGATGGAGTGAATGATGGTGAAAGTTTTTCTTTTTCGGGCCACCCTGCCTTGGTGGGAATCGGCCGGTGTGATAATAACCATGTTAATTATTAGTTTAACAGGAAAAATTGGATTCTGAAGATACCTCTGTAAGTTCCAGAGATTAACAAGCCAGAAGAATAACAGTGGAACAAGTAGGACTCGTACATATGCACACATTATTCACATTTATAGTATGAAAATAATGCAAAATAGTTTTAGTCTATTAAATGCCTTCATACATCAAAATAATGGGAAATATTTTTAATAGACACCCTCATACATCACCAATTAGAAGGAAGACTTTATATTTGCAGAAAAAGTCAGTCTCAAGTATGAAAGAAAAGTGAGCACTGCAAGAAGCCTACCAAGCTATCATATGTAAGTACAGGTCCACATCCCTTTATCTGAAACCCTTGGAGCCAGTAATGTTTCGAATTTCAGAATTTTTCGAAGTTCAGAGATGACTGACGCTCCACATTTCATGAAAACCTTCTGTTTTCAGAACTTTTCCAATATCACAATTTCGGATAATGGGTTGTGGACCTGTAACTCAACTATTTTCCAAAATAAAGAATCAAGATAAATATTAATTTATATGGCAAGGACACTGTCTTGCCAGAGGCCTGGTTGTGCACTGGGCCATGGGGGTGTTGATCCTCGGAATACCCTCCAGGTAGACTCCAGGTAGGTAGGCATGTTGACACTACCGTTCAAAACTGCAACATGTCTCCACCCCTCCTTCAGAGCACAAGCCCCTCGAGGGAGGTTCCTTGACAATACTGAGAGGCTCTTGATATAGGGAATTGGATCTATGCTCCAGTCCCTTTAATTTAGCCTGAATGCCTTCCATTCCAATACCCCCCCCCCAGGCACTGTATAATCTCTATGGGTTTAACGCTCCCCAATAATAATAATCAGAGCACAAGCACTGTACTTTCCACTTCCAGCTAACTGGTTTCCTTGAATCCCTTCATAAATGTTACTTTGCTCACACTCCAACGCCATGTCAAGTCATAATAATAATTAGAAATATCTTCAACTGAGATAGAGTATTCACAGGAACTTTCCTTACCCACCTGCATTACTCAAGAAATTTCTCTCCTTAATATCTGCTGGTGGTTTGTGCTGAACCGATCTAAGGTCATCTATGTTTATTTTTGGTTGACTGACGAGGTTTCTGGGTTGGCTTCTGATCAGAACTTGACCCTTGATCTCAGAGTTAGCTGAAAACGTACAAAATCCAACATTATTTTCTTTACTGTACCGCAGAAGTTTGTAAGTTCAGTGATTTGCCACAAAAAAATTGCATGATATCCTTAATATAGCACAATCAGCGACATATATCACTGTGCTCTAATACCCACTTCCCATGATTAAAACCAGTACCACATACTGATTATTGTCATGGGGAGTGCACTGTGGAGTAGCATAGTGGGGTGTGCAGTGACATCTCAGAACACCTGCCACTACTTCATAACAAAAGGACAGCAAAATTAGTTTCCCATAATGATCCATTATAGTATAATTGAGTGAGCTTAATATTTATGATAAATTTACTATCTTTGGTGGGTGTGCAGTGCTCACCTAGCACACTCAGAATATACACCCTTAATTTAAACTAAAATTTTATGAACCTCTCTAATACAGACCAATATGTAACATGCCCATTTCATCAGGTAAGAAAAGGGTGGGAGTGTCTGCTACCGAGGAATTTTCATAGGTCACAATTCTGCAATGTTGTTCTTCCACGATAAGGTCTTTTCCTTTTGAGGAGCCAATAACAACCTCTTTGTTAATCAAACTATAAGGATTTATCTGAAAAATAAATAAAAATAGTTATAAGAAGAATAAAAATCACTGGCTGGAACAGCTCAACTAACCCACAATTGGAAATATGAACTCAACAATATTTTCCTCCATCCTGGGCTCATAACCCACACACAGGAGAAACTTATGTCGATGTTACGGTCCAATTTGGACCATTAATTAGTCACAAACACAGTGTGTGACTAGTTAATGGGCCAGGTCAGACCAAAATATCATCATAAGTTTCTTTCTCCTATGTACAGGTTATCTGTGTATTGTTCCAGTCAAGGTATTGTACCTTTTTGTTCATTATGAGCTAAATAATGTTCCTGGACTGAGAAGAATGCTGCTTAGTTTTCACAGAAAATGTGTGGGTTAATGGTGAATAAAATTATATATAAACTTTATGAAGTAGGTGTGACTTACTGTACTTGGTATTTCATTCTTATCAACCACAGTAAGCCCTAAAGCATGGCTTATCTCCATGGTACAAATTTTTATAAACACGATTGAAAATGTGCGTCTAAAATTAAACAGCAAGTATTATGAGGCCTTCTCACATGTTATGCAATTTTTTTAATACACTTTCAACCAAGTGTACAGAAAATTATGTTATATACAGGAGCCTTAATTGAGGGTTCACTGGGCTCACACTATGCCAATTCTCGGTCTATAGTATTAATTACTATAAGCAAATTATTCTGTCAAAAAATAGCTTCATAATGATTATTTTCTGCACCTGATGTACAATGGTGACCACATGCATTAAGTAAGTGACTAATGCAAGTTAGAAGATCTAAGATCTGAGTAATAGTAACCTGGTACATACATCAGCTACACACCATTAGCTAGACTAGGCAGTGCGAGATGGCATTTCGAGTGGTGTGACAAAGAGTCCTAATGAAAAGCACAATACTGTTTATTTTACCAAAAAACTTTTCTAATTGCCCTATTTATGCAGTGGTATCTTGAGTTACGAGCTTAATTCGTTCCAGAAGGCTGTTCGAGTGCCGATACCGAACGAATCTGTTCTCATAAGGAAAATGAAAATTAGATTAATCCATTTCAGACCCCCAAAAATACACTTACAAAAGCACTTACAAAAGTACACTTACATAACTGTTCAAGTTGAGAGCTGCTCGTAACTCAAGGTTCCACTGTATTTGCATTTTAAGCACTGAATTAAAAGTTTATTTTTTTGAGTTCAATTTGTTCACCCACAGTACTGTATTCAGTTCCTAGGGGTGCGGGGAACAAAATAAATAATTAATCCAACAGCCATTTAAGATCAAAACATTTTGTGAAATTTAAACTCTAAAGAGCCCTTTCCACTAAACTGATCAGGGCAGAACCCAAACAGTATACAGTACTCCCCCATATCCACAGGGGATACATTGAAAGACCTACCGTGGATACCTGAAACTGTGGATAGTAGTGTACCCTATATATAAGTCATTTTCCATTTACATATGTACCGATGATAAAGTTTAATTGATAAATTAATTGACAAATGCAAAAGAAGTCTAAAATTAGCACTTTTTCACTGATGGGAAGCATTTCATGGCTTCTCTTAGGCACTGAAGAGCTGCCAGCATCACACTTTTGCACTTTAAAGCCATTATTAAGCAAAATAAAGGGTTATTTTTGGGTCACAGTAAATAGTGGATAACCGAAACCGCGGATACCGTATCCATGGATACGGGTGTTCCACTGTACACCTTTTCAGGAATCATTCAAGTAATATACTGAAGGTAAAGAACTTACCAATTCAGATGGTATCACAAACAGGTACAGTTCTGTGTCAGAATCCAAGTCTTCATTCTGGAGAGCTCCTGGCTCACCGACCTGATTATATTCATCGAAATCTGCAATTACCTTGGATAAAATCTGCAAATATAGTACAGTATATATATTAAAACATTAAATAATTTAAACATTACATTTTTATGAAAAATGGCTTGGTTTTATTAAAGAACATAGGTTTAAGCAATTATCTATTGTATTTCTAATACATACTGTATTTGTAGCTACAAGAGCAGAGATAAAAGTGGAGAGTATAGGGCCTACATATTGAAGGATGAGGATGCTGCAATTCAGACAGCCACATAACATGAAATAACCTAAATCGGCTTAACCTTACTCTGCCATCGGTCTTTCATTATGTCTGACACATCCTTGTTTACTCTCACGTGTCTTTATTTACGTTTGCAGCATCTTCGTTTACTCTGCCATCTGTTTTTACTCTGCCATCTGTATTTGTTTATATGTGCCGCGTCTGTCATGAGGATTTGATGATGGGTTAGTATGAGTAATTGAAATGGAATTTATACGTCTTGCAGTAACATCAACTTTATTGGCTGTCATCTAAGTCCTCTGCATCTTTGTTTACTCTGATATCTTTGTTTGTTTACGTCCACCACATATACCAAACAATGATTGGCTCTAAAATGCCGCTCATGCCAGAAAAAAAAAATTATTCTCCCAACATCTCCCACAATAATAATCTAGCAAATAATTGTCAGCTTGTTTGTTTTCTCTGTAATGCCTAAATGTGCTGTTTGTATACCTTTAATGTCCTTATATAAAAGCAAATAATAATTCAACCCATCCTAGTTTTAAGTTAGGTTAAGCTTGCCTGGAATGCTCTGCATAACAATGGGCTTTCTTCATACTCAACCGTTTACTGTATCATGCTGAAATAAAATATTATTACAGTGGACCCTCGACTAACGATCAGCTCCCAACTCGACCAGTTATGTAAGTGTATTTTTGTAAGTGCTTTTGTACGTGAATTTTTGGGGGTCTGAAACGGACTAACCTATTTCACAATATTCCTTATGAGAACAAATTCAGTCGGTAACGGCACCCGAACAGACGTCTGAAATGAAATAATATAGTTAGTCGAGGGTCCACTGTATTATTATTATTATTATTATTATTATTATTATTATTATTATCTATTGTATCACGTAGAAACAAATCTTTGTCTTTGACTTTGAAAAAATAACTTGATTCCGTGGTGTTGATGGTGTATGTATCATAAAATATAAATTAATGTACAATTTCCACCAAGGAACATTCTTCGTTCTTGCCGGCACACATAGCTCGGTTGACATCATCCTCAGCTCACACACTAAGGGTCCTGGATCAATCCCCAGCATGGGTGAAATGTTGGGCATGTTTCCTTACACCTGCTGTCCCTTTCCACTTAGTAGTAAGTAGGTACCTGGGTGGCTAACCCTCTCCTGGATTATCCTGGGTGGCTAACAACCCCTGGGTTATCCTGGGTGACTAACACCCCCCTGGGTTATCCTAGGTGGCTAACCCTCCACTGGGTTATCCTGGGTGGCTAACACCCCCCTGGGTTATCCTGGGTGGCTAACCCTCCGCTGGGTTATCCTGGGTGGCTAACACCCCCCTGGGTTATCCTGGGTGGCTAACACCCCCCTGGGTTATCCTAGGTGGCTAACCCTCCGCTGGGTTATCTTGGGTGGCTAACACCCCCTGGGTTATCCTGGGTGGCTAACACCCCCTGGGTTATCCTGGGTGGCTAACACCCCCTGGGTTATCCTGGGTAGCTAACCCTCCACTGGGTTATCCTGGGTGGCTAACACCCCCTGGGTTATCCTGGGTGGCTAACACCCCCTGGGTTATCCTAGGTGGCTAACCCTCTGCTGGGTTATCCTGGGTGGCTAACACCCCCTGGGTTATCTTGGGTGGCTAACCCATCCCCTGGGTTATCCTGGGTGGCTAACCCATCCCCTGGGTTATCCTGGGTGGCTAACCCATCCCCTGGGTTATCCTGGGTGGCTAACCCATCCCCTGGGTTATCCTGGGTGGCTAACCCATCCCCTGGGTTATCTTGGGTGGCTAACCCATCCCCTGGGTTATCCTGGGTGGCTAACCCATCCCCTGGGTTATCTTGGGTGGCTAACCCATCCCCTGGGTTATCTTGGGTGGCTAACCCATCCCCTGGGTTATCCTGGGTGGCTAACCCATCCCCTGGGTTATCCTGGGTGGCTAACCCATCCCCTGGGTTATCTTGGGTGGCTAACCCATCCCCTGGGTTATCTTGGGTGGCTAACCCATCCCCTGGGTTATCTTGGGTGGCTAACCCATCCCCTGGGTTATCTTGGGTGGCTAACCCATCCCCTGGGTTATCTTGGGTGGCTAACCCATCCCCTGGGTTATCCTGAATGCCTAACCCATCCCCTGGGTTATCCTGGGTGGCTAACCCATCCCCTGGGTTATCTTGGGTGGCTAACCCATCTCCTGGGTTATCCTGGGTGGCTAACCCATCCCCTGGGTTATCCTGGGTGGCTAACCCATCCCCTGGGTTATCCTAGCTGGCTAACCCTCCCCCAGATCCCCAGATCATCCTAACCGACTAACCCTCCCAGAGTTGAAGAGATAAGAGATAATATTTTCTTTGGATTTTTAACCCCGGAGGGTTAGCCACCCAGGATAACCCAAGAAAGTCAGTGCGTCATCGAGGACTGTCTAACTTATTTCCATTGTGGTCCTTAATCTTGTCCCCCAGGATGCGACCCACACCAGTCGACTAACACCCAGGTACCTATTTGCTGCTAGGTGAACAGGACAATAGGTGTAAGGAAACACGTCAAAATGTTTCCACCCACCGGGAATCGAACCCGGGCCCTCCGTGTGTGAAGCGAGAGCTTTACCCCCCAGGGACGCTGGTGAGGGGCTCTTGATCTAGGGAATTGGATCTGTGCTCCAGTTCCCTGAATTAAGCCTGAATACCTCCCATCCCTCCCCCCCCCCACATGCGTTGTATAATCGTAAGGGTTTAGCGCTCCCACATGATTATAATAATTTACCCCCCAGGCCACCAAAAAATCCCCAACAAATCATATATTCCCTACCTTTTTACCATCTTCTATCACTGGCAGAGCCTCAGGTGGATCTACTTCAGAAACCAGGGAAGTTATATGGTTTTTATCTGAAGAATGAAGGTCACCGGCGTCTTCATCTTCAGAATCACTTACATTATGTTCCTTGCGATCCATTTTTATACCTTTGTTTATGTGAGGTCTTAAGGGTCACTGAAACTTACGCTTTACTGTTGAAAATAATATTATCTTTAATATCTTTTATTTGTATTTGATACAACTTATACAGACCATAGCTGATATCAGTGATATATTACTCTATATAAAGCCCCTTGTTATGCTGAAAATTTCTGGTAAATTAGGTGAATTTTGTCCCAGGATGCGACCCACACCAGTCCACTAACACCCAGGTATAAAATACCCTCATGTTGAGGATTGAGAGTAATATATCATTGATGTCAGCTATTGTCTGTATAAGTTGTATCATATACAAATAAAAGATATTAAACATAATATTATTTTCAACAGTAAAGTGCAAGCTTCAGTGTCTCAATCGTGCAATGTGAACAGGCTTGGTTACAAGTACTTCTGGCAGTGTGGGAGACACACAGATGATGATCAAACTAAATGTAAATTATGTGATCAGGCATATTGTCACTCTCTTGAACACTATGTGCTTAATTGTCCACTTATTGAGGAATACAGAGACAGACAGTATAATAACCTATGTGACATGTCAAGATATCTTATTAATGAAAATAAGATACCAGATATACTAAGCAAATTTTCTAAATTTGCTTGTAACAGATAAGTGAACTATAGATATGTAGATATAAATCCATATGTATTCCTGTTAACCCTTTGGGGCCTAGTTCCTAGGCCTTTTGTGTATCCATATGCTCTCGCACTACCGTCCACAGGATGGATATGGGGTGCACAATAAACTAGCCACTTCGGTGGCAAAATCTAAATCTAGACACAGTTGGGTGTCTTTATTGATGAAACGTTTCACCTACACAGTAAGCTTCTTCAGTCAAATACAGAGGCAGCAGTGTAGTAGTGAAATGAAGATGATGTAATCTGTAAGATGGAAGGTCTCGAAGATATAGTGAATCTCTTCCCCATAACTCTTCCAGATCTCCCACCTCACTTTTGACAGTATTTAAGAGTGAACATTAAAATGGTATAAAATACCTCAAAACTTTAAGGGTGATGGACTGATTACATCGTCTTCAAGTATCTTCTGCTTCTATCAACTTTTCTGTACTCGACTGAAGAAGCCTACTGTGTAGGCGAAACGTTTCGAAATAAAGATACCTAACTGTTGCATATGTGTCTTACCTAACAACAGTATTTAAGAGTCCGTTCTCATGCTTCAGCTTCATATTGTTCCAGACCATGAAGCTGAACTCTTCTCCAGGCTGAGGGACTGACCACCTTCTTCCAGACCATGAAGCTGAACTCTTCTCCAGGCTGAGGGACTGACCACCTTGTTCCAGACCATGGAGTTTAACTCTTCTTCAGGCTGAGGGACTGACCACCTTGTTCCAGACCATGGAGTTTAACTCTTCTTCAGGCTGAGGGACTGACCACCTTGTTCCAGACCATGGAGCTGAACTCTTCTCCAGGTTGAGGGACTGACCACCTTGTTCCAGACCATGAAGCTGAACTCTTCTCCAGGCTGAGGGACTGACCACCTTGTTCCAGACCATGGAGCTGAACTCTTCTCCAGGCTGAGGGACTGACATCTTGTTCCAGACCATGGAGTTGAAATCTTATCCAGGCTAAGGGACTGACCACCTTGTTCCAGGCCATGGAGCTGAACTCCTCTCCAGGCTAAGGGACTGACCACCTCAAATACTTTTTCTCGAAGGTTGATGGACTAATTACATGTTTATTTCACAACATCTGCTCCCTCTGTATTTGACTGAAGAAGCCTACTGTGTAGACGGAACATTTCATCAGTAAAGATACCCAACTGTTGCTTCAAATTGTCGGTATTTAATACCATTTTCACCCCTCAAGGGAGGTTCCTTAACGTTGTTGAGGGGCTCTTGATCTATGGAATTGGATCTGTGCTCCAGTTCAATTGAACCTAAATACCTTCCATCCCCCACAGGCGCTGTATAATCCCTACGGGTTTAGCGCCCCAATTATTATAATAATATACCATTTCAACGTATAAATTACCTAGGATAACCCCCAAAAAAGTCAGCTGATGGTCTGTATAAGTTGTATCATGTACTTGTAGAATTTAAAGATTATTATTAGCATTAGGGCCCAGTCCCTGGACCCATTATGTACCTCTGTAACCTTTTGACTACTACCCACAGGATGAGTATGGGGTGCATAAGAAGCATATTAAACTAACTGGCCTCGCATGGGCCAGTAGGCCTTCTGCAGTGTTCCTCCATTCTTATGTTCTTAAAGTTGTTAAGGGGCAGGTAAGTTCCTCTGTCTTCTAATAACATGTTCATTTTTCCACTATAATCTACCTTATCCATAATTACTATCACATTTGCTTTGTCTGCTTTTGTAAGGTGAAGTCCAGGATCTTAATTCATGGTATAACTTAACAGAGCTTTGAGGACAGGGGGTACTTAGGTGCAACAGTAATTATGAACAAGACAGTGGGTACCTAGGTGCAATAGTAATTATGAACAAGTCAGGGGATACCTAGGTGCAATAGTAATTATGAACAAGTCAGGGGGTACCTAGGTGCAATAGTAATTATGAACAAGACAGTGGGTACCTAGGTGCAATAGTAATTATGAACAAGTCAGGGGTACCTAGGTGCAATAGTAATTATGAACAAGTCAGGGGGTACCTAGGTGCAATAGTAATTATGAACAAGACAGTGGGTACCTAGGTGCAATAGTAATTATGAACAAGTCAGGGGGTACCTAGGTGCAATAGTAATTATGAACAAGTCAGGGGGGTACCTAGGTGCAATAGTAAATATGAACAAGACAGGGGGTACCTAGGTGCAACAGTAATTATGAACAAGACAGGGGGTACCTAGGTGCAATAGTAATTATGAACAAGACAGGGGGTACCTAGGTGCAATAGTAATTATGAACAAGACATGGGGTACTAATATGCAATAATAATTATAAACAAGGTAGATCACAGTTGAAAACTAAGCACAATATTAAAAAAACAAAGGTACTTAGGTACCCCTTAAATATTTGTTAACATGGTCGTCACCACCATCAGTGTCAAGTGTGTCAGGCTGGACCTCACTACCTCTGTTATATTCCTCCCTGTTGGCGTTACCATTACATTTGTGTGTGTGTAACACATCAGGTGACTGGTGAGTGTTCTTGGTGCTCTTTTTGGTGTATTTAACCTGGTGACTGACACTTTAATAGTCAAATATAGAGGGAAATAGTGACGTGTGTGTGTGTCTGCATACACGTCCCTCACGTAGTTTTTTTTTTTTGTGTTGATTATATTGTAGGCTTTTATGTTGATGATTTATCATGATAATATGTATAATTTTTCCAGATTTGTCAGTAATGAGGAGTTATGGGGTATTTTGAAGTTAATATTGAGTGATAGTAGGCTGGTGAGGACACTCAGTTATGACAACTCTTATTTTAAGTGACAGCTGTTATTATATACTTATTTTCGCAGCTAAATGTCTGTCAGCTATGAAGGGAAGCTAAATTTTTCATGGAGTTGCATATATCAGCTGGATTTGGGGTTCTTAACCTCTTTCGTTATTCACTGCTTAAGGACCCCAATGGAAACACGTCGCTGCGTTTTTTGGGTTATCCTACGTAATTTACACATGTTAAACTGTATATGATAATTGTACTTAGGTGTACCTGTACCTAACTAAACTTACTTATGTCAGCAGACTTCTGGCAAGACAGCAGTTTGAGTGAATGTGAATTTCTTTTCCTTATTTTTGGGTCGCTGCCTCGTGGGAAATGCCAACATGTTAAAAAAAAATAACCTAAAACCTATTTTGGTTTAATAAAAAATATCCTAAAACCTATTTAGGTTTACTTGCCACAATTAAAAGAACTTCGTACTTTCCAAAGACCCCAAAGGAAATGTCGCTGACTTTTTTTTGGGTTATTCTAGGTAATTTACATGTGTTACGATGTATGATAATTGTATTTGTGCACCTGTGCCTAAATAAACTGACTAACAGTCAGTCAAAATTCTTTTCCTGTATCTGAAACCCTGGATACAGAATTGTTAAAAAGGGAAGGAATGATTTAGATATTTTGACAATGCAAAACTAAAAGTCATGTTGAATCTAGTTTCTCGATTTATATTTTAAAAAAAATGCCCTGAAGTTGCCACAAAAAAAATTTAAATATTTTGCAAACAATGTATCTCGGCAAGAATATTTACTTATACGCATACTGTGTAACAACAAACAAAACAATTATAGAAGTAACCTAAAAAAAAAAAAAAAAAAAATATATTATATATAACGATCTCTTGTTTCCAGGTAAGATTACCTGACCAATTTTTTTTTTTTTTTTTTTGGTGAGGGTGACTTAACTAGTAAAGTTAAAATTAACCTTACTAAAGTAAGTAATATTCTGTATACATGATGTTCTAGGATTATCTGGATGGGAAGTATCTGATGACATGATAGCATTGAAATCTTATCTTATATTCTGAGTGGACGACTCTGCCTCTTAAACATACTTGAAGTGAAGGAACAATTTCAGCATTAAGTACAATAGTGTATAGTTATCTTTAAACAAAAGACTATGAACAGTTTAGTTAGAATATGTGATGAATAAAAAGAATACTGTATGAATATTTTAATTTCTGATGAAAGTATTAGTTCAGAAAAAATGACTGTCCAGTTGTCACTGTCTTAATTTATCAGTTTTCTCGTAGGGATTACATAAGATTTTAATTTGATTTGTTCTTCCTTGCAAATCATTTTGTAGCTCATCTTCAAACATTTTTAAAGTGAGTACACTATCACCTCTTATATTCCACTTTCAGTTGAACATTTTTTTTTTTTTTTTTTTTTTTTTTTAGGCTTTCTTAAACTTGTTCAGTCACATACAGGAGTCTGTCAATACTCTACCATATGATGTTTAATTTGTATTATATTTCAGTGACAATCCCTTGTTAATGATGATTCCAAGGTCTCTTTATAGACCTAGAGAGCAGTGAAGCTGGAGTCAGCCTTGGGCCATACTTTACCCAAAATACATGGCATACTTTTTTGGCTCTTAGTTCTTCTGCAGTGCCCCCCCTTTTCTTTGTCCTTAGACTTGTCCCACTTCTACTACTACTGCAACTACCACTCCATTACTACTACTGCTTCTACCACTACTATTGCCTCCTTTCACTCCCCTTTCTATTTCTCATGCCACAAAAACTACTCTCCCTGCTTTCTAATACCACCTCTACTATTACTATTTTCTTATCTTCCTCTCATCCCTGTCCCTCTCTTATATATACTGGCTCCCTCATTTGTATTAGCATGACTTGTAAATAGTCCAAGTTGGACCTAACCATCATCATAGGCTCCTCTCTCCTATGTGTGGATTATTTGTGTATCATTGTAATGTTTGTAAAGTACCTAGGATAACTCAAAAATGCCAGTACACTTGAAATCCTGCTAGATGTTAACACCATTTTACAGTATTCACTCTTGTATGCTATACTTGTTCATTGTACAACAATGTAATCATCAGTAACTACAATCCCTCATCGTCAGTGATGCTTAAAACTCATCAGACCCAGTAAGTGCAATGGGAGGGTCTGGCACTTCCCTCATGGCCAGTGATGATTTTAGGATGAACAAGGGGGGAAAACCGTGGCTAAAAATTCCTCTGAATGCCTGAAAGTTGTCAATTATTGAGTTGCCAGGAAATATCTGTATGACATCTGCCAATGTGAGGTGTTGGCAGTGGTCCAAGCTTAAGCTCTTAATTAATGATGGTTCCGGGAGACTACGTGTACATGTCATGCCCATGAGATTAATTTAGAATTATTCTGTTAATTTTGTTCTATATTTATTCTCTAGCACAAACCAGCAAGATGAGTATCCAGTGGACATTGATTGCGGGTGTGATGTATGTGGAACTGGCTGTGACAATTTTGCTCCTCATACCAGTGATCTCACCATCTAGGTACAGTATGACTTTTGTTTTTACTGACTCTCAGGAAAATGAAAAAAGTATCTATGATATAATTTCATAATTATGACTTCTAATTGGTATACTGGTTATAGGGATTCTGTATTCTAAATATTGATTATACTCACATTCAGGCATTCTGGTTTTTTGCTTTTAAAATGATACAGTGGACCCCCAGTTTGCGATCAGCTCCCAATGCGACCAATTATGTAAGTGTATTTATGTAAGTGCGTTTGTACGTGTATGTTTGGGGGTCTGAAATGGACTAATCTAATTCACAATATTCCTTATGGGAACAAATTTGTTCAGTAATGGCACCTGAACATACTTCTGGAATGGAATAATATCGTAAACCGGGGGTCCACTGTAGTAAAACTTTTTTTTTCTATATCATTGTAAAAATAGTTAAGGTTTATGATTTGAAATAACATTTGGCTTACTTTTTCCCATAAAATGCAATTATAGCAGCAGTTTCAATTAAGTGAGAATATACATGTTTTATCTAGAAAAATGAGGTGTAGCATATGGAGTTTGCTTGAACCAAGAACACTGGTACAAGCAAATGTTCTTTGCAGGAAAATTTCAGTACTATAAAGGAATCTTTATGGAAAACAGTAAGCCAGAAGGAAAACGAGGTGTGCATTTACTTAAAAAAAAAATGGCAAATCACCATGTATTGAAGAACCACCTGGTCACTTTTTTTTAATGTACTGGTAATGGGCTGTGCTAGTTTGTTTAAAACTCTCAGTAACACACATTAATGCAAAAGGTGCAGAATTTATCAAGATTTCTTTGCATACACCAACTAAATTGCCCAGTACAGTAGAACCTCGGTTTTTGTATGCCCTAGTCTGTGTAAAACTATAGTTATTCTCTATAAAGTGTATTTTTTGTTAATATGTTTGGGTGTCTGGAATGGATTAATTGGATTTAGATTATTTCTTATGGGAAATATTAACCAAAAATACGTTTAATAGAGAATAACTCTAGCTTTACATACAGACTAGGGCATACGGAAACCAAGGTTCCACAGTATGTCTCGTCCAATCTTTCTTTTTACCTTTTCATTTTTTAACGCACTGGCATAGTCTCCCACCGAGGCAGGGTGACCTAAAAAGAAAAGCAAAATATTTTCTTGTACTTTTCACTACTTTTCTGTTTTTTGCAATGTGAATTACTATGTTTTTAGTTTACATATGATTCTGATGTTTACATATAAACATCAGAACCATTGCTTTCCTACCCCCCTCACACATATTATGGAAAAACTCAGGCATTGCATGTACAGTAGTTAACCTGTAAACGGTCCAGGCAGATCTACGTTCACATGTGTAGTGCTACAAAAGTAGATCTACGCTTTTTTTACATACGTATTTTCAAATATAACAAAAAAAAATCTACTTTTTTTACATTCAAATGTTGAAAAAACGTATATATACGTTTGGACCGTTTACGGGTTAGTGAACTCTGTCCAAGAGTGTTTGAAAAAAGAAAGTTTGAAGCACTGCTTATACATGTAAAAAAATCAAAATATATTTAACTTTTCTTAATTTGAAATTTAATTTTTGCATGCATATTGAGTACATATAGTAATTTCACCCCCTTAATTAAACACAGTTGGTGTGATATATACATGGATGTTCAGTATACTGTGTGTGTATTTTTGTTTTGCTACAAAGGTGTGTCTCCCACCAGTCAGTGGGCTCTGTAAATGGTGGCGGTGGTGGCGGCTCCTCCTCCTCTTCTTAAAAAAAAAAATCTTGCCAGACGTGTGCAGACATTACAATTTGGATGACTGCAGTGCAGCATCCTCACCGTTCCTTCAGTGTTCAGGCAATGCACATTCCAACCTGCACACAGTTTGAAGGATTTGCTCTGCTACTGGCAATACCTCGTATTTGCCCAGTAAATACTTTTACTAATAGTAATCCTAGTTTAGCATAAGTTTTATCTATTATATATTGCTTGTTTCAAGCCCCTTTCCCCTTGTACTGGTTTTCTTGTTGCTATCAGAGTTCAAACTAATTTCATTTATGATTTTCAGATGGCACTCAATCTTCAAATCCCGCTTCCTTCGAAGCATTGGAAATATGTCGCACATTTACTTCAAAGTGTTTCTTCTACTACTCAGCCTCTTCTTTTTAGGTAAGACAATTCAAATGTCATTTATTAAAAATTGGCGCAAAGGGTGCAGTTTCATCAACAAGATTCCTTTGCATACACCAACTAATGTGCCCAGTATTTTTCATTTCTTTTTACCTCATTCTTTTCATTTTTTTTTAATGCAGACGAAGTCTCCCACTATCATGTGGGAGTTCGAATACGTGGATTAGGTAAAGAAATACTCACGTAGGCTGGTAGTACGTATAATTACAGATAAGGTGGGTTGCGCCCTTACAGCCGTGACCTGCCTCCTTGCTCACTCTCGTATAACTGACTGACTGGCCGCCCGTACCCATATGTGAGAGGGTCTTTGAATAATGCCAGGTCAGCTCAATATGAATAGACAGTGACTCAGGCAGAGACGGTTGGTCGTGAGTCAACTGGCACAGTGGTTACTGGTAACTGGTTACTACTACTGATACCACTGAGGCAAGTTCATCTAAAAGGAAAAATAAAAAGTTTTTCTTTTTACATTAGTAATTTATACAGAAGAAATTACTAGCTCCTTGCTTCAACTTAAGGGGGATACCTGTAGACCCCTGGCTGTCTTTAAGAAGACTCTGGGCAGGCACCTAAAGTCAGTACCTCATTAGATACGCTGTGGTTTGTATATTGGTTTATGTGTGGCCAACAGTAACAGCCTGGTTGATCAGGCCCTGATCCACCATGAGGCCTGGTCACAGACCAGGCCGTGGGGACATTGACCCCCAAAACCCCCTCCAGGTATACACATCCTTCTCATGTTTGACAAAATCTTCTATCTTGTTTACTTGTGTCACCCTGTACACGACTATGGATAGTACACTTGCTGTTTAGAAAAATTCTAAAATATGCTTATATGTTTTAAGTTATATTTTTGTCTAATAATCTAAGAGAAGAAAATTTAAATAATGTACCTGTTAAGCTTTTATACTGAAGCACAATATAGAAAAATTAAATATTTTTACACTCCAGCCAGTTGCATGGTACCTCAGACCACTCCTTAGTTCTGTATCCCAGATGTTCTTGAAGGCTTCCTAGAGAGCGCATTGTGGAATAACTCTATTTGGGGTCTAGATCATTTACTAGATAAGGTATCTGAAACATCAAATGCCCATTGAAAAAACCAAACATCACCATTGTAAATTGAGAAGAATTTGATACTAAAAGCATCCTGGATTGTTTTCACAAATATTAAAATACTGTACTAGGAGGTAGTGTGTGCTATAACTACTTAATTAAAAATTTTATAAGAGATTCCCCACAAGAGACACCATGAGCATACTTGTGCTTCTGTCACTACAAGTATACAGTAGGTGATGGTAACCACATGTCTTCTGAACTCCTCAGTGTCTTCTTCTTAAGTCACTTTTGAAAATCTTCAACATATGAGGCCTTACTCTACCCACTATTTAACAAGTTGGCCATCTCCCACTGAGGCAGGGTGACCCAAAAAGAAAGAAAATCCCCAAAAAGAAAATACTTTCATCATTCAACACTTTCACCTCACTTGCACATAATCACTGTTTTTGCAGAGGTGCTCAGACCACAACAGTTTAGAAGCGTATATTTATAAAGACACACAACATATCCCTCCAAACTGCTAATATCCCGAAACCCCTCCTTCAGAGTGCAGGCATTCTACTTCCCATTTCCAGGACTCCAGTCCGGCTATATAAAAATAACCGGTTTCCCTGAATCCCTTCACTAAATATTACCCTGCTCACACTCAACAGATCGTCAGGTCCCAAATACTATTCGTCTTCATTCACTCCTATCGAACACACTCATGCACGCCTGCTGGAAGTCCAAGCCCATCGCCCACAAAACCTCCCTTGCCCCTTCCTTCCAACCTTTTCGAGGAAGACCCCTATCCCGCCTTTCTTCCCCTACAGATTTAAATGCTCTCCATGTCGTTCTACTTTGATCCATTCTCTCTAACTGACCAAACCAACTCGATAACCCCTCTTCAGCCCTCTGACTAATACTTTTATTAACTTCACACCTTCTCCTAATTTCCACACTCCGAATTTTTTGCATAATATTTACACCACACATTGCCCTTAGACAGGACATCTCCACTGCCTCCAACCGCCTCCTCATTGCTGCATTCGCAACCCAAGCTTCACAGCCATATAAGAGTGTTGGTACTACTATACTTTCATACATTCTCTTCTTTGCCTCCATAGATAACGTTTTTTGTCTTCACATACACCTCAACGCACCACTTGCCTTTTTTCCCTCATCATTTCTATGATTAACCTCATCCTTCATAAATCCATCCTCTGACACGTCAACTCTCAAGTATCTGAAAACATTCACTTCTTCCATACTCCTCCTTCCCAATTTGATATCCAATTTTTCTTTAAATCATTTGATACCCTCATCACCTTATTCTTTTCTATGTTCACTTTCAACTTTCTACCTTTACACACACTCCCAAACTCATCCACTAACCTCTGCAATTTTTCTTTAGAATCTCCCATAAGCACAGTATCATCAGCAAAAAGCAACTGTGTTCAGTTCCCATTTTGTATTTGATTCCCCATAATTTAATCCCACCCCTCTCCCAAACACCCTAGCATTTACTTCTTTTACAACCTTATCTATAAATATATTAAACAACCATGGTGACATTACACATCCCTGTCTAAGACCTACTTTTACCGGGAAGTAGTCTCCCTCTTCTACACACCCTAACCTGAGCCTCGCTATCCTCATAAAAGCTCTTTACAGCATTTAGTAACTTACCACCTATTCCATGTACTTGCAACATCTGCCACATTGTTCCCCTATCCACTTTATCATATGCCTTTTCTAAATCCATAAATGCAGTAAAAACTTCCCTACCTTTATCTAAATACTGTTCACATATACAGTGGACCCCCGCATAACGATTACCTCCGAATGCGACCAATTATGTAAGTGTATTTATGTAAGTGCGTTTGTACGTGTATGTTTGGGGGTCTGAAATGGACTAATCTACTTCACAATATTTCTTATGGGAACAAATTCGGTCAGTACTGGCACCTGAACGTACTTCTGGAGTGAAAAAATATCGTTAACCAGGGGTCCACTGTATACTTCAATGTAAACACTTGATCTACACATCCCCTACCCACTCTGAAACCTCCTTGTTCATCCGCAATCCTACATTCTGTCTTGCCTCTAATTCTTTCAATTATAACCCTACTGTACACTTTTCCTGGTATACTCGGTTAACTTATTCCTCTATAATTTTTACAATCTCTCTTGTCCCCCTTCCCTTTATATAAAGGGACTATACATGTTCACTGCCAATCCCTAGGTACCTTTCCCTCTTTCATACATTTATTAAGCAAAAATACCAACCACTCCAACACTATATCTCCCCCTGCTTTTAACATTGCTGTCATGATCCCGTCAGTTCCAGCTGCTTTACCCCTTTTCATTCTATGTAATGCCTCATGCACCTCCCCCACACTTACATCCTGTTCTTCTTCACTCTTAAAAGATGGTATACCTCCCTGGCCAGTGCATGAAATTACCACTTCCCTTTCTTCGTCAACATTTAAAAGTTCCTCAAAATATTCTCCCCATCTACTAACTCCCCTACTCTGTTTTAACTGACAAACCCATTCGTTCTCTAGGCTTTCTTAACTTGTTTAACTCACTCCAAAATTTTTTTTTATTTTCATTAAAATTTCTTGACAGTGCCTCTCCCACTCTATCATCTGCTCTCCTTTTGCACTCTCACCACTCTTTACCTTTCTTTTACTCTCCATATACTCTGCTCTTCTTATAACACTTCTGCTTTGTAAAAACCTCTTTTCATGTATTAAATTTGGATGCTCTCATATATTTTGAATTCTAGACACCACAAACTTAGTTATGTTCTGTACAGTTAATATATTTTTTTTTTTTTTTTTAATTTTGGCAGTTTCCCACCAAAGCAGGGGGGGCTGAAAAAGAAAACCTTTCACCATCATTCACTCCATCACTGTCTTGCCAGAGGCGTGCTTACACTACAGTTATAAAACTGCAACATTAACACCCTTCAGAGTGCAGGCACTGTACTTCCCATCTCCAGGACTCAAGTCTGGCCTCCCTGTTTCCCAGAATCCCCTCATAAATGTTGCCTTGCTCTCACTCGAACAGCACATCAAGTCCTAAAATCTGTTTCTCCATTTGCTCCTATCTAACAGGCTCGCACATGCTTGCTTGAAGTCCAAGCCCCTCTTCTACAAAACTTCCTTTACCCCCTCAATCCAACCTTTCCAAGGCCGACTTCTACCCTACCTTCCCCCCACTACAGATTTATACACTAACATTCTATTTCGTTCCACCCTCTCTGTGTCTGAACCACCTCAACAACCCTCGTCAGCCCTCTGGATAATAGTTTAGTTTTGGCAATCCCACACCTCCTCCTAATTTCCAAACTAAGAATTCTCTGCATTATATTCACACCACACATTGCCATCAGACATATCTCCACTGCCTCCAGCTTTCTCTTTGTTGCAGCATTCACCACCCATGCTTCACACACACATAAGAGCGTTGGTATAACTATACTCTCATACATTCCCCTCTTTGCTTCCATGGACAAAGTTCTTTGTCTCCACAGACTCCTTGGTGCACCATTCACCTTTTTCCCATCATCAATTCTATGATTCACCTCATCTTCTGACACGTCCACTCCTAAATAGTATCTGAATACATTCACCTCCTCCATACTCTTTCCCTTCAATCTGATATCCAATCTTTCGTTACCTATTTTTTTTTTATCTTCATCACCTTACTCTTTCCTATATTCACTTTCAATATTCTTCTTTTATATACCCTACCAAACTCATCCACCAACCTCTGCAACTTCTCTTCAGAATCTCCCAAGAGCACAGCATCATCAACAAAAAGCAACTGTGACAACTCCCACATTGTGTTTGATTCTTTATCTTTTAACTCCACACCTCTTGCCAAGACTCTCACATTCACTTCTCTTACAACCCCATCTATACATGTCAATATATTGAACAACCATGGTGACATCACACATCCCTGTCTAAGGCCTACTTTTACTGGGAAATAATCTCCCTCTTACCTACATACTCTAACCTGAGCCTCACTATCCTTGTAAAAACTCGTCACTGCTTTCAGTAACCTACCTTCTATACCATACACTTGCAACATTTGCTACATTGCCCCCCTATCCACCCTGTCATACACCTTTTCCAAATCCATAAATGCCACAAAAACCTCTTTAGCCTTATCTAAATACTGTTCACCTGTGTTTCACTGTAAACTCTTTGTCTACACACTTCATACCTTTCCTAAAGCTTCCTTGTTCATCTGCTGTCCTACTCTCCATCTTACTCTTAATTCTTTCAATAATAACTCTACCATACACTTTACCAGGTATACTCAACAGACTTCTTCCCCTATAATTTTTGCACTCCTTTTGTCTCCTTTGCCTTTATACAAAGGAACTATGCATACTCTCTGCCAGTCCCTATGTACCTTGCCCTCTTCCATACATTTATTAAATAATAGCACCAACCACTCCAAAACTATATCCCCACCTGCTTTTAACATTTCTATCTATCCCATCAATCCCAGCTGCCTTACTCCCTTTCATTTTACCCACTGCCTCAAGAACTTCCCCCACACTCACAACTCGCTCTTCCTCACTCTACAAGATGTTATTCCTCCTTGCCCTATACACAAAATCACAGCTTCCCTATCTTCATCAACATTTAACAATTCCTCGAAATGTTCCCTCCATCTTCCCGATACCTCTAACTCTCCATTTAATAACTCTCCTCTCCTCTCCCTAGGCTTCCTCAACTTATTAATCTCACTCCAAAACTTTTTCTTATTTTCAACAAAATTTGTTAACATCTCTCCAACTCTCATTTGCTCTTTTTACATTGCTTCACCACTCTTTTAACCTCTCTCTTCCTCACCATATACTCCTCCCTCCTTGCATCACTTCTACTTCGTAAAAACCTCTTACATGCTAGCTTTTTCTCTTACTACTATATTTACATCATCATTCCACTAATCACGCATTTTCCTTCCCACACCCACTTTCCTGTAACCCCAAACTTCTGCTGAACACTAACACTACATTCTTAAACCTACCCCATACATCTTCAACCCCATTGCTTATACTCTCACTAGCCCATCTATCCTCCAGTAGTTGTTTATATCTTACCCTAACTACCTCCTCCTCTTGCTTATAAACCTTCACCTCTCTTACCTGCTGCTTCCATTTTCCTTGTATCTTGTCTACCTTTTACTCTCACTGTAGCTACAACTAAAAGTGATCTGATATATTTGTGGCCCCTCTATAAACACGTACATCTTGAAGTCTACCAATAGTCTTTTATCTGGTAGGTAAGACACATAGGCAACAGTTAGGCAACTTTATTCCGAAGCGTTTCGCCTACACAGTAGGCTTCTTCAGTCGAATACAGAAAGTAGGCAGGAACAGTAGAGATGTGAAGACGATGTAATCAGTCCATCACCCTTGAAGTCGTAGAATTTGAGGTTGTCAGTCCCTGACCACTTTATTGGGTAGTTGAAATTGGTAAATGGGCAGTTTCTTGTATTCAATTGATAGAAAAAATGGAGCTCTAAAGAAATAGCTATAAGTTTGGTCAACTGGAACAATGGAATTGGCCGAAAATTGGGCTCAAAGTCGGTGAAATCGCCGATGCATATAGTATATCGCCGAGATCGCTAACTTCGCAAGAGCGTAGTTTCATGAGTTTTCGATCAAATTTCATACTTGTGGTGTCATTACCATTGGGAAAAGATTCTCTATCATTTCATTAGAATTTTTTTTTTCTTCTTTTTTTTTTCTCTCTTGACATCAGGAGACACTTCAGGATTTGGGGTTGCGACAGTGAAAGGGTTAACATCTCTCAAAATCTCTCTCTCTCTCTCCTATACACCTCTCTTCTCCAGGTGCATACACACTTATTATGACCCACTTTTTGCATCCATCCCTTATTTTAATCCACATAATCCTTGAATTTATGTATTTATATTCCCTCTTCTCCTTCCATAACTGATCCTTCAACATTGTTGCTACCTCTTAGCTCTCTCTCAGATACTCCTGACTTAATCCCATTTATTTCTTCCCACTGAAACTTGCCTACCCCCTTCAGCTTTGTTTTGCTAAGAGCTAGGACATCCAACTTCTCTTCATTCATAACATTAGCAATCATCTCTTTATCATTCGCACTACATCGAAGGACATTCAAGCATCCGAGTTTTACAAGTTTTTCTTCACTTTTATTTAGTATTTTCTACAGAAGGGGTTACAGCCCATTGCTCCCAGCATTTTAGTCACCTCATATGACACGCATGGCTTACGGAGCAAAGATTCTTTTCCACTTCCCCATGGAGACTAGAGAAAATAAAGAAGAACAAGAACTATTAAGAAAAAAGAAGAGAAACCTAGATGTGTGTGTGTGTGTATATATATGCATGTTCGTGCCTGTGTACTGTAACCTAAGTGTAAGAAGTAGAAAGATATACCTCTTATCCAGCGTGTTTGAGACAAAAAAAAGAACACCATCAGTCCTACAATCATGTAAAACAGTTACAGGTTTCTGTTTCACACTCACTTGGCAGGAGAGTAGTACCTCCTTGTTTGTTGCTGTCTACTATCCTAATACCTACATGTATAGTAATCGTATTATATTAAAAAAAATTTCCTCTGGGTCTCCCTGTCTTGGCTGGAGATGGCCGTCGAGCTGAATCAGTGTAGTGATATCTGCAATTACATTGCACCTGTACAGGAGGACTCTCCTTATTCAGTACCCTCTTTTTGGTGTTCCATGTTTTCTCTGGTTTTCAATTGAGCCGTTGCTCATTATGTTTGGTGCTTTTTCTGTTTTTGGGCAACAGATGTATATTATGGTGTAAATACGTCAGACGTTTTAGATGCATTCAATTTTGAAAAACACTTTTTCACTCTTCAGCGATTTTCACTTATCACTGGGGGACAGGAGCCTAACAGCCGCAAAAGCGAGGCCCTCCTGTATATGGTTTAGTTTCATAAAAGGCTTAAAATTAACAATACATTTTGATGAAACTCTTTATTTATAACTACAATACAGGAGGGCCCCACTTATACAGCAAGTTAGGTTCTGGGCTACTACTGTACAGTGGATCCCCGGTTTATGATCAGCTCCCAATGCGACCAATTATGTAAGTGTATTTATGTAAGTGCGTTTGTATGTGTATGTTTGGGGGTCTGAAATGGACTAATCTAATTCACAATATTCCTTATGGGAACAAATTCAGTCAGTACTGGCACCTGAACATATTTCTGGAATGAAATAATATCGTAAACCGGGGGTCCACTGTATAGTGAAAATTGCTGCAAAGTGAAATATGGCCTCTTTTTCACTTTCAAATGCATATAATAATAATGTATTTATTTTTACTAGCATAAAAGCCTGGTAACATGTTTACAATATCATAATATACTAACTGAGCAATACAGTTAGGCCTAGAAAATGCATATACAGTACATACATTACTTACCTTAAAATATTTTTGTACTTATAGTGAGTGGTGAATATATTTATTGTAAGAAATCTGAATAAATGAAAATGGGTATAATTAAAATTCATTGTACTAGTGGAATGCTGTAAGGTGAAGTGCTGTAAAGCAGGACACATTATTTTTTTTTTATTAACACACTGGCCGATTCCCACCAAGGCAGGGTGGCCCAAAAAAGAAAAACTTTCACCATCATTCATTCCATCACTGTCTTGCCAGAAGGGTGCTTTACACTACAGTTTTTAAACTACAACATTAACACCCTTCCTTCAGAGTGCAAGCACTGTACAGTGGACCCCCGCATAACGATTACCTCCGAATGCGACCAATTATGTAAGTGTATTTATGTAAGTGTGTTTGTACGTGTATGTTTGGGGGTCTGAAATGGACTAATCTACTTCACAATATTTCTTATGGGAACAAATTCGGTCAGTACTGGCACCTGAACATACTTCTGGAGTGAAAAAATATCGTTAACCGGGGGTCCACTGTACTTCCCATCTCCAGGACACATCTGCACCTAAATTAATATTATTGCTTGTATAAATGTTCATTGGTTTCTTGTTTATTACATACTTTTAAGAAACAAGCGTAAAAAAAAAAGGCAACTACCTACTCTTCTTTCAGATGCTATTCGTGAGATGCGCAAATACAGCAATGAATTGTCTGAGCAGGGTCGGGTTGAACATGGCATTCATTTGGACGCTGAAATGCAGGCACACATGAGGCTGTTCCGAGCTCAGCGCAACTTTTACATCTCTGGATTTTCTCTCTTTCTTTGGGTGTAAGTAACCTTGCTTGTTATTATGCCTTTGAAATATAATATCCATTTTTATTCTTCCATGCTGGTGGTATTCATTTGGCAGTTTTGCCTTTGATTTTTTTAACACATCGGCCGTCTCCCACCGAGGCAGGGTGACCCAAAAAAAGATAAAACAAAGTTTTCTTCTACTTACCATTTACAAGTCACACTTGTAAATGGTCCAAGTTGGACCAAAACATCGTCTTAAGTTTCTCTCTCCTATGTGTGGGTTATATCTGTATTGTTCCAGTCACAGTAATGTGCTTTTTTCTTTCTGATTTTTTTTGTCATTCTAGGGTCCTTCAACGCCTGACAACCCTCATCTCGCGTCTTGCCGTAGCAATGGCTGAGGGACAAGCAGCACTTAAACAGGCAAAGTCTGCTTCTGAAACTGCAGCTCAGCTCCTGAAGCAGGACAAGGCAGAGAAGGAAGAAGATCAGCAGAAGGAAGCAAATGTCTCGAATGAAATTAAGGAGTTAATGGAAGGCAAGTACTACAATGATTTTGATTTGACTATTATTACTCCTGATTTCTGTAACTTGGTTGTTATTCAGTGGGAGATCTTGAATTCCTGAATGATTCCTTATGGATTTATTGCTTGTCCATGAGGGTAATAGTATTCACTAACTGCAGATAGAATATGTTTGTTTCCAAGTACAGTACTGTATTCTTCAAGTTTTGCCTCTTCATTTACTTGTAATGCTGATATCTGTAACACCTTTGTTAGTTGATATGTTTCACTGCTATATTATTTTTTTTTTTTTTTTTTTTTTAACAAATCGGCAGTCTCCCACCGAGGCAGGGTGACCCAAAAAAGAAAATCCCCAAAAAGAAAATACTTTCATCATCATTCAACACTTTTGCCTTACTCACACATAATCACTGTTTTTGCAGAGGTGCTCAGAACACAACAGTTTAGAAGCATATATGTATAAAGATGCACAACATATCCCTCCAAACTGCTAATATCCCGAACCCCTCCTTTAGAGTGCAGGCATTGTACTTCCCATTTCCAGGACTCTAGTCTGGCTATATAAAAATAACTGGTTTCCCTGAATCCCTTCACTAAATATTACCCTGCTCACACTCCAACAGATCATCATGTCCCAAATACCATTCGTCTTAATTCACCCCTATCGAACACGCTCGTGCACGCCTGCTGGAAGTCCAAGCCCCTCGCCCACAAAACCTCCCTTAACCCTTCCTTCCAACCTTTTTGAGGACGACCCCTACCCCGCCTTCCTTTCCCTACAGATTTAAATGCTCTCCATGTCATTCTACTTTGATCCATTCTCTCTAAATGACCAAACCACCTTAAAAACCCCTCTTCAGCCCTCTGACTAATACTTTTATTAACTCCACACCTTCTCCTAATTTCCACATTCTGAATTTTTTGCATAATATTTACACCACACATTGCCCTTAGACAGAACATCTCCACTGCCTCCAACCGTCTCATCGCTGCTGCATTCACAACACTCATATAAGAGTGTTGATACTACTATATTTTCATACATTCCCTTCTTTGCCTCCATAGATAACTTTTTTGTCTCCACATATACCTCAATGCACCACTCACCTTTTTTCCCCTCATCAATTCTATGATTAATCTCATCCTTCATAAATCCATCCGCTGACACGTCAACTCACAAGTACAGTGGAACCTCTATTTGTGAGTTTAATCCATTCCATGACCTTGCTCGCAACTGGATTTGCTCGTTTGCAGAGTCAATTTCCCTCATTTAAATAAATTGAAATGCAATTAATCCGTTCCAGTGGAATTCTGTACTTCAATAATTTCGCTAATATCAACTCTACGGCTTATTTATCTATCTCACTTCATCTAATATGACATAATGAACAATATAAATAACAGAAACCTGATATATACTCTAAAATGAATAAAATGTCATTAATGTAGTGGTATGGGCAGTGTCGGCAGTGGACGAGAGTTTGTCTGGGGACCGGGCAAAATACTTCATGAATAATTTTGCTAATATCATCTATACGGCTTATTTATCTATTACAGTTCATCTAATATGACATAACAAACGATATGAATAACATAAAAACATGATATATACTCCAGAATGAATAAAATATGTCATTCGTGTAGTGGTACGGGCGGTGTCGGCGGTGGACGAGAGTTTGTCTGGAGACCGGGCAAAATACTTCATGAATAATTTTGCTAATGTCATCTATACGGCTTATTTATCTATCACAGTTCATCTGTTCATCTAATGTGACATAACAAACAACATAAATAACGTAGAAACATGATATATACTCTAGAATGAATAAAATGTCACTATGTAACAGGTGGAGGCGACCACAACTGCTCCCTCTTTGTTGTGGTAAACACTGCCATCTAGTGACGGCCTTTTGAAGCAGTCTGTTATTATAATTATTATATGTAGTACATTATTATTATATATTATTATTATGCATATTCTATTATTATTATTATTATTGTATTATATTATTATACTATTATTATATGTATTATTATTCTACATTATTATTATTATTATTATATAAATAACTTGTAATTTTTATTCACACAAAAAATATAAGATTTACTGTTATTCCTTATTGCAATAATTGTATAAATGTCAACCCATTCACGACTGCATATTGGAATGGACAGTGACGTCATTTGTTTACTCTGAAACAGCCAAGCAATGGACCATTTCTCCTGGGTTGAGCTCAATTTCAAGGCACTTTTTGTCATGAAAGCAATCAAAATCACGTCTATTTCTGTAATATATTTTCCATTCTATCAACCGAGACCAAAAAAGCGAGAATACAACCATAAAAACCATTCGAAATTACCGCTAAGGGGTGGCTAATTGCTGAGAAGTGAACTCCATTATTTATGCTTAGATTTCTTTCATTTTTGGTGTACGTTAAGAAGCATCTTTCCATCATACATTGCCCAAGTTTCAATAAGATAGTCCAACAAACAAATGAGGTACAATTCAAGAGATCAAGAGCCCCTCACCAGTGTCAAGGAACCTGCCTTGAGGTCTGCTCGCTTATGGAAATTTTGCTCACGTATGGAAGCAAAAAATCGGCCCATCGACTGCTCGTATTTGGAAAAACTCTCACGTGGACACGCTTGCAAGTAGAGGTTCCACTGTATCTGAAAACATTCACTTCTTCCATACTCCTCCCCAATTTGATATCCAATTTTTCTTTATCTAAATCACTTGATACCCTCATCACCTTACTCTTTTCTGTGTTCACTTTCAACTTTCTACCTTTACACACACTCCCAAACTCATCCACTAACCTTTGCAATTTTTCTTTAGAATCTCCCATAAGCACAGTATCATCAGCAAAAAGCAACTGTGTCGATTCTCATTTTGTATTTGATTCCCCATAATTTAATCCCACCCCTCTCCCGAACACCCTAGCATTTACTTTTTACAACCCCATCTATAAATATATTAAGCAACCATGGTGACATTACACATCCCTGTCTAAGACCTACTTTTACCAGGAAGTAGTCTCCCTCTCTTCTACACACCCTAACCTGAGCCTCACTATCCTCATAAAAACTCTTTACAGCATTTAGTAACTTGTTACCTATTCTGTATACATGCAACATCTGCCACATTGCTCCCCTAACTACTCTATCATATGCCTTTTCTAAATCCATAAATGCAATAAAAACTTCCCTACCTTTATCTAAATACTGTTCACATATATGCTTCAATGTAAACACTTGATCTACACATCCCCTACCCACTCTGAAACCTCCTTGCTCATCTGCAATCCTACATTCTGTCTTACCTCTTAATTCTTTCAATTATAACCCTACCGTACACTTTTCTTGGTAAACTCGCTCTATATATAATAAATAAATCTTTTTGATGCTTCAATAACCATGGGTTTAATTGAAATTCTTACCTCATAGAAAAACTCCGCCTTGAGGCAGAGCGAGATGCGGCTCTGAAACAGGCCCAGGCTGTAGGTCGTGAATATGACCGCATGTTGGAAGAGCACTCCAAGCTCCAAGAAGAACTCAAGAAAGCTTCAGGAGTTGAGGAATCCAAGAAAGATGATTGAGATATTATTGTAAGTGGAGTGCTGTAACACATTTGTATTTTTGAGGATACTGATAATATAAACATTGCTATTTCTACACATTCATGGATGATCATTAGTTTGTGAAAATTAACATTATGGTATCGCCTATTTTTTGCCAGTTAAATGATATACTCTACATAGTTACCCCTGTTGCTGGGTTTTGACGGAAAAATTAAGTAGCGGTGAATTTGACTTAATGGAACATTCTGAAGATAAGTTTATTGCATTTATTTTAATAGAGAAGGTGGAACATATGTATCAGTGCAGTTGTGTGTATCCAGCTTTAACTTTAAGCAGGGCTTCTTACGTTTCTTAAGACAGTTGGGTACTTGTTTAGGAGTCTGTTCAGTTAACTAAAAATTTTCTTGCTATCCTGCCTCATGCTGTCATGGTTAGCACTTTACTAATGTAATAGAGATTTTATACAGATTCTTTTAATACCTGTCTCGCAAAATTGTATTGCCGCAACATTTTTTGATCTTGAATAGACTAGTGAGTGAACATAAGGCTGTGTGAAATAAATGCTAAAAAAAATATCTGCACTAGCTGTGTCTTAAATGCTGAGATTCTTTGCTTGGCAAATAAACTAGCTATTGGATGACTATATTTTGACGTGCTTTACTAAGGGAAAATATTTGGTGTGATGCTATTAAAAGCTAAAACAAATAAGTCTGCAGATATTAGATATTTGTTACAACTCCATGTCATCTAATGTGTGCCATTACATGCTTAATGCAGTTTTACCATGTACCATAAATTGAAGGAGCATGAATGAGTACATGACAAAATGCAGGTATACCCTTGTACATTACACTCACATGCACACTTCCAGGGAAGGATCCAGGAAGAGAACAGGTAAACCCAGGAGGAGACAACAGGTAAACCCAGGAGAATACAAGCATCCAACTGAGAGTGTCTAGCAAACACTTTTTCATTGTAGGACAAGGGAAGCGAAATGAACTAGACAACACGGTTTACCTGGAGAGGGTTTTGGGGGTCAGTGCCCCCGCAGCCCGGTCTGAGACCGTGCAAGTGTCTTACACACGTGAAACAAAGTGGTTTATTTAGTTTAGAAATCTAAATTATTAACACAAGCTAAAACATTGTAAGAGAAGAGTATGAAAGGGAGAGGAAAATTTTTGAACTACCATAACAAAAAGAAAGGCATAAGTTGTCGGTTTTATAATGTAGAGGAGTTGGTACAAATGGCTTAGTATATTTCTTCAAACACAGAGTTGACAAATGGAGTGAGTTACATTAAGATGTCTGAGACAAACTTCACAATAGTTGAAGAGATTATAATCACTGTGGGTATCAGTTACACTTGCATGCATACGCTCAATTTTTTAAACTGAAAGATAGTCTGTAAATTCAGAGTCTCAAACTCTTAACATCCATGTATTTTAGTTACATCTTAAGTCTTTGATAGATTATAGCTTAAAATTAAGATGTCCAGTGTGTGTTCTGTAAATCTTCAGGGAAATTCTTAGCTAAGTACGTATAAATGCAAAATTGTTGAACATTTTAACATGGTTATCAAATGTTAAGATTGCTCAATTTTGCCAAAACATTCAGTATTTTGTGGGAAAAAACAAATGAACAAAATACAGCATTTGCTGGGCTTTAGTACTTATTTCTTCCCTTTTGTTTTTCCTGTTTTAATTGATTTAACTCGCAGCTTTAAGGAACTTGAATATTCCGGTGTTTACGTACGGCAGTAGTTTGTTTTAAATCATAGATCTGCTCGTACAAATTAATGTATACAGTTTGGGGAAGACCCAAGTATAGTACTGTAATGCTTGACATGATCATGTTGATGTTCTTTAAATAATTGAAGAATTTTCCTCGATAGCCAATCAGGATTCTTGCTCTTCCTATCTTCCACGGGAATGGTATACCATATCTTAACCCCAGGTTATACGAGTGAATTGTAGTGCTGTTGCTGAATGCAAAAATTATATTTTTGCACGTGTTTTCATGAACAGAAGACGCTGAAGCATAAGTGGGATTGAAGAGGGAGGTATGTTCAACACAACTTGAAAATCAATATGGAAGTATGTTAAACACGACTAAAAACAAATCCCACCCATTTCATCGACCTTGGTCATTATCTACTGCATATCGTGATGGTGACGGACAGTGCACCATCAAATCGGTTTCGTGATTATTATTTGAATTAAGAAACTTTACCCTTGTTTTATTCATCAAGCAGTAAGTTTCACCAAGCTAATTTGAAGTTCATTAATTTCCCTTATGAAAAATCAGGCAAGTAGTTATTGGTCATGAAGTCTAAACTACTTATAAGGTAACCTGTTTATTTGTAAGAAAGTTATACTAATACCTTTTTGCTTATTCTTTTTGGTTTACATCAAAATTTGTATTGTTTCTCATATTTGGAGTATTTCTCCACAAATATTGAATACTGTATAATGCATTGAGTGAAGTATACAGTGTTTTATTGCCATATGTATATCCAAAGAATAATATTTTATACAAATTTTCATTATCTTTTTTGTTTCTCTTAATTTTAATGCTCCTATTTGATTGTCAATAATGCTGTCTTCAGTTACACTTGGTTTCCCTAGGGAATTTTACAATATTGTAGTTCTTATTTTGGGATTGTTTCAAAATAAAAGTTAAAACTTTGCTTAAGTCTGTCATTCAGAACTGAATATTCCTTGGTGATGAAGGGCTCTTGATAAGAGGAATTGAAGCTGCCCATTTTTTCCTTAGAACAGATTTACTTCCCATTTCTCATGCACTGTATAATCCCTGGTGGTCTATTGACTGTTCTCAGTGTGTGTGCAGCGCTGTATGACCCTTATGGGTTTAGTGCTTAGTTATGATTATAATCTCTGTGTGTGACTGAAATGTGTTGTGTGGGATCGCTAAAGTTACAACAACAGAACCACCGGCCAGTTCCTAGCTTGTAAATGGAGAGGGCATTTGTCTGTTGGGTTATAGATGTAGCAAAATATTCTCAGTAGCATGCCATCTTCCACCAAGGCAGGGTGACCTGAAAACAAAACACTTAACCATCATTTGCATATCACTGTCTTGCCAGAGGCATGCAGATATGACAGTTCAGATGTCTCTCCAAACAGTGAATATATCTAAACTCTCCCAATACTACTGGGTATGCAGTTTGGAAATAGATATCCAAGTTGACCGGCCAGTGCTCTCCAGATCCTGTTCTCATTCTTGTGATTACTAGTGCTAACATGCAGACCCTGTTGAGGTTGCTACAGCAGTTGGGCATCACCTTGTTTGTGTATCCAAGAGCTCCATGTATCCCCTTCATTTCTTTCCTTCAAACCCAAGAGGTAGTCGGCCTCTGGATTGTACTACTCACATTGAGGAACCTTATAATGTGCTCTTCATGCTCAGTAAACTTGCTTTCCTTGTATCAGTCAACAGCAGCTGGACCTGATGACATATCCATATGCTTCAACATTTATAACCCACAGCACTCGTCCTCTTACTCCTTTTCAATCTCGTTTGGTATCGAGGGTTTTTCCCTCTACGATGGACAACCACCACTGGCATCACTTTTCATAAGCCAGATACTTCAAGTCATGACACCTCTTATTACAGGCCCCTTGCTCTTACTACAGGTTCTCCTCGCTTAACGACCCAGTTTCGTTCCTAAGAGTAGGTTCGTAAGCGAGTTTGTCGTTAAGCGAGGAGCCGCCCCTTATTGATATTTGAAGCATACTGTACTGGTAGTGGGTTTGTGTAAACCATCTTTAGATGTTGTTTTAATGTCACCCTTGCATCATTTATTACATTTTTCGTATATTAAAAATAGAACTAGGCATTTAAAAAAATTAAAGTAAAATACACTTGCAGTACACTGGTAGGAGAGCTGGTAGTAAGTCCAAATGGTCATTAAACAGGTAGGTTGTTAAATGTGGAGTACCTGTAATGCTCTTTGTAAACTGTTAGAATGCTTGGTAACTCATAATTCCCTCCCCTCATCAATTTGATTTACACAGGGGCCATTCTACTGTTGATCCCTTAATCCATTTGGATACCTATGTTCGCAATGCCAAACAAAAAAACGAAGGAATTTAACTTGGTCAGGTTTAGCTCTTAACCTGATTGTATTATTCGGCCTTCTGGTCTTGTGGTTGCTACAAGGCTCTTTCAATAATCATCTATTTCTCCATTAGCCCCCACTAGCCCTGGCCCAGAAGTAATCTTTCCATGTTGGATCTTCAAGGGAAATCAGCAATTTATGACCCTTGTGGGCTTAGTGCTTAGTTATGATTATAACTGATAAAGGATTGTCTGTGCCTTGATGCTGGTATTGGACTAATCCATGTATCTGGAGAAGACAATCATTTTTTATTACAACCACCAGTTTTCCAAGAATCTTGACCTACAGTATTGTGCAGTGAGCCTCTTTATAGCTGCCTTCAGTTCACCCTCATAACTGAGTCCTTTCTGTAGTGGGTTACATTATATTGCTTGCTTCAGTGCACCCTGATGAGATTCCTTTCTTTAGTGTGGGTTAAATGATCTTTGTCACTGCCTTGGTATGTACCATTGCCACCCATCACCAGGGTGGCAACAGTCTTTGAAACTTGTTCCTTCACAGGAGGCTCCTTGATGCCTGAGAGAAGCTCTTAATTGAATGAATTGGACCTCTCTTGGATTGAAGCTGAATGCCTCCTGTTTCCCCAAGTACCATATGATCCAGGTGGGTTTAGCTCTTCCTGAATTTAATAATGTGAAGATTGAGTGCTGTTCACTGATGAATTATACACTTAGGTTTGGTGCTTTCCATTAAACACGACAAAATATTTTTGTATGTTTTACTGGGCTATATACAGTGTAAAATCAGTACTCAAACAACTTACTTGAACAGTTCGGTATTCGAACGCTTTGTCAGGTAAAAAAATCACTTGGAAGTTGACAGTGTGCTCAGCACTCGACCAAGCAAACATAACCTGCCAGAACTTCATTGTAAACTACAGTATTTCATGTTTCTTCACATTTCTTGGTGTTTTTTATGTTGTATAAACAAGTCACAATGGAGCCTAAGAAGATTAGTGATAACGGCCAATATAAAAGAAAACTGGGAAAAATTTGTTTGGTACTCGGACCGATCAGCACTTGAACAACCTTCTGGAACAAATTAAGTTGAAGTGCCGAGGTTCCACTATTTTTCTGAAAGTTCCACATTTGGTGTACATATGCGTGCACAAATTTAAGAAGAGGAACAATAAAGCTCTTCAAGCAGGAGAGATAGGACCAGTAATGGCCATTGAAGAAGCAGAGCCAGGAGCTTCAAATTGACCCCTGCAACCACAAATAGGTGAGTACACTCTTAGTGTCTTTTTTTACACTAACTTATTTCACAAACCATGTCTTACGGGTTTAGCCCTCCCCCATGATTATAATAATTCACCAACTGTGATCTTAATTTTTCACTCTCCTACACCTACTAATCCCTGCCCTTCACCTACATCATCATCATTCCACATTCATTCTTTCACACATTCCTACCTGCAGTGCTGGATGACCCTTTAGGGTTTAGTGTTTCACTTGATTATAATAGTAATGTACATTTTAGCGAGTTTCTTTGCCTACAAGTTAAACCTAGAGACTTACCCTCGGTTGGTAGCGCACTCAGCTCACACACTGAGGTCCGTGGTTCGATACCCGGTACGGGTGGATACATTAGGGTGTGTTTCCTTAAGACACCTGCTGTCCATGTTTACCTAGCAGTAAAATAGGTACCTGGGTGTTAGTCACCTTACACCTTATGCCTCTGTTCACCTAGATGTAAGTAGGTATACCTGGATGTTAGTGGACTGGTGTGGGTCGCATCCTGGGGACAAAATTGACCTAATTTGCGCGAAATGCCCTGCATAACAAGCGGCTTTCTGTATAGTAGTATGGCATTGATGTCAGTTAAGGTCTAAGTTGTACATATAGAAATTATTATTATTATTATTATTATTAAAGCTGTGGACATTTGTTTGCTGTATAGCCCTTGTGGCTTAGCGCTTCTTTTTGATTATAATAATAATAATGTGGACATTTGTTTAACGGTTTTCATAGACAGCCGGTTAATGTACTCAGGTGTGTGTTGCCCTACTGGGACTTAGGAATGGGGGAGCCACCTGAATAATAATAATAATGTTTATTTCTACATGTACAAGGTATACAGACCATAGCTGACATCAGTGACATACTACTATATAGAAAGTCCCTTGTTATGTACAGAATTTCGGGCAAATTAGGTCAATTTTGTCCCAGGATGTGACCCACACCAGTACTTACTTGCTTACGTCCTTATATACTTACGGACTCATTTACTTAAGTACTTATTTACGTACTCATTTACTTACGTACTTAATTATGTACATACGTACTCATTTACTTACGTACTTATTTACGTACTCATTTACTTGTTTACTTACGTACTCATTACGTACTCATTTACTCACGTATTTGCTTACGTACTTACATACTCATTTACTTACGTACTTATTTTCTTACCTACTTATTTTCTTACCTACTTATTTTCTTACCTACTTATTTTCTTACGTACTTATTTACTTACGTACTCATTTACTCACGTACTCACGCTCTCGCTTCACACGGCGATGTCTGGGTTCGATTCCCAGCGAGGGTGAAAACATTGAGCGTGTTGCCTTACACCTGTTGTCTATGTTCACCTATCAGTAAAATAGGTACCTGGGTGTTAGTGGACTGGTGTGGGTCACATCCTGGGTGTTAGTGGACTGGTGTGGGTCGCATCCTGGGACAAAACTGACCTAATTTGCGGGAAATGCTCAGCATAACAAGTGACTTTCTATATAGTAGCATGTCATTGATGTTGTGAGGGGCTCTTGATTTAGGGGATTGAATCTGTGCTCCAGTTCCCCGAATTAAGCCTGAATGGAAATAAGTCACTCTGACTTTTTTGGGTTATCCCAGGTTCTCTACACATATGCTGCTATGTATGATAATTCTATGTAACTGTATTTGTGTATACCTGAATAAACTTACTTAGTTATGCCTTCCACATCCCCCCCCCCTAAGCGCTGTATAATCCTCCGGGTTTAGCGCTTCCCCCTTGATTATTATTATAATAATCTATACAGTAGTATGTCACTGATGTTAACTATGGTCTATATACCTTGTATATGTACTGGTAGTAAATAAAGATTATTATTATTATTATTATCATAATTATTATTACTTATTCACTAGATCAGGAAAGACTGGATACAGGTTAAGCTGTCAGTGTCCCTTATAAATTCAACAAGAAGAAAATAGGTACCTGATTACTGCTATATATGTAGCGCTGTTTGGCCCTTGTGGTTTAGCGCTTCTTTTTTATTATAATAATGGAATATATATAACCTTTAAGTAGGTTTATTCAGGTACAGCTACATATAAATAGTTACATAAATGATCATATGTAGCAGCATATGTGTATTATCAAAAAGAAGCGCTGAACCACAAGGGTTATACTTATACAGTGAGTATATGTGTAGATTATCTGACTTAAATAACAAAAAGGCACAATACCGTGACTGGAACGATACACAAATAACCCGCACATAAAAGAGAGAAGCTTACGACGACGTTTCGGTCCGACTTGGACCATTTACAAAGTCACACTAACGATAGGGATGCCCGGGTGTTGTGCATGTCTTAATTTCATCTTGTCGGTAGTACTACTACTACTACTACTACTACTACTACTACTACTACTACTACTACTACTACTACTACTACTACTACTACTACTACTACTACTACTACCACTACTACTACTACTACTACTACTACTACTACTACTACTACTACTACTACTACTACTACTACTACTTCTACTTACTACTACTACTACTACTGCTACTACTACTACTACTACTACTGCTACTACTACTACTACTACTACTATACTCTACTACTACTACTCTAGCTACTACTACTACTACTACTACTACTACTACTACTACTACTACTACTACTACTACTACTACTCTACTACTACTACTACTACTACTACTACTACTACTCTATACTACTACTTCTACTGCTACTAACTACTACTTCTACTACTATACTACTACCCGCTACTACTACTACTACTACTGCTACTACCTACTACTACTACTACTACTACTACTACACTACTACTACTACCCTCAAGGAAGGTTCCTTGATGTTGGTGAGGGGCTCTTGATTTAGGGAATTGGATCTGTTCTCCAGTTCCCCGAATTAAGCCTGAATGCCTACCACATATCCCCCCCCCCCAGGCGCTGTATGATCCTCCGGGTTTAGCGCTTCCCCCTTGATTATACTACTACTACTACTACTACTACTACTGCTACTACTACTACTGCTACTACTACTACTGCTACTACTACTACTACTACTACTACTACTGCTACCACCACTACTACTACTACTACTACTACTACTACTACTACTGCTACTACTACTACTACTACTACTACTACTACTACTACTGCTACTACTACTACTACTGCTACTACCACCACTACTACTACTACTACTACTACTGCTACTACTACTACTACTACTACTACTACTACTGCTACTACCACCACTACTACTACTGCTACTACTACTACTACTACTACTACTACTACTGCTACTACTACTACTACTACTACTACTACTACTACTACTACTGCTACTACTACCTCCACCTCTTCCTGCCTATATATAGCCGTCCTGCTCCACCTCTGTTAGTGTGACTTTGTCAATGGTCCAAGTTGGACCGAAACGTCGTCGTAAGCTTCTCTCTTTTATGTGCGGGTTTTTTGTGTATTATCTGACTTACTTGGGTCATCCTGGATAATCTACACATATACTGTTATGAATATGTAACTATGTGTATTTGTACCTGAATGAATTTTAAAATGTGCCATGAGTTCAAGCCCCACCCGTTCCAGGGTTTTCACCTCTCCCAGGATTGATCCTGGGTCCTTCAGTTTCGACCTCAGAATTGAGCTGTAATATTTTATGTTCATTTTTTTTTAAACTTGCTTGTTGAGATTTCATTCAGTATTCATCCTGTGTTTCGTTTCTATTTTTTTCCACTTTCAGATATGGTACCATGAATAATATCTCTAGGCCTTTCGTGTTAGTCAATACGTCATCAGGAGCTTGCAATATTACAGGAAAGGGGATAAAATCCGAGCAAACACATTTACATGAAATCCCTAGAGCTATCTTTCAACACCCCCCCCCCCCTCAAGGAAGGTTCCTTGATGTTGGTGAGGGGCTCTTGATTTAGGGAATTGAATCTGTGCTCCAGTTCCCCGAATTAAGCCTGAATGCCTTCCACATCCCTCCCCCCCAGGCGCTGTATAATCCTCCGGGTTTAGCACTTCCCCCTTGATTATAATAATCAACACCCTCCATGGTTATTTTTTGCATTATACGGTACCATGTTTTGTCATTCCCTTTCATCCAGAATTTTACATAAAATAATCATTATTCAATACTCTTTATGCTGTATGACCCTTGTGGGTTTAGTGCTTACATTTGATTATAATAATTTATATCCATGTCTGCTGAAGTAATCTTCAGATAAATTATGTTTCATTATCTTCGTTTTTTTACTTTCTTTAGTGCCACAGTGATTAATGTGTCAATTACAGTACTGTGTCCATGAGCATTTAGGCCTATCATAGTACACTATCACTGATATTATAAATTTAGATTTATATAGGAGTGTGGTGTATATAATTGTAAGTAACTACATAAGAAATCCTACTTATGCAATTAGTTTTTATTATAATAGTAATAATAATTATTAGTCTATTTCTAATTCTTAAGTAGTTTTTAACCAATGGGATTAGTTTCCCCAGAATGCATTTGCATACAATGTTATACATATTACATGTAAACTTTATTATTTGTACCACATAAAGAGAAATCAAAATTCCGATTTAAATTTGAACAGTTTGGTCGATGATAATGACATGGCGATAACTCTTTATTCACCCTAGAGAGATATTAATCCGAGATAACCCAATGAAGTTACTCAATTTTCCCCTTATTTCCATTATGGGTTCTTTTTAAGTCCTTCCCTAGGATGACCCACATAAGTTGAATAACTCCTGATTATCAATTACCTGCCAGATAACAGGTAAAAAGGTGCTAGGAGACTTGTCCATACATGTTGCCTCGACCAGCTTTCATGCAACCTACTCCTGGATGTGAACCAAGAACCCGATGGAAACAAGGACCCCTGTGGAAATAAGTAAGGACCCCAATGGAAAAAAAGTCACTTTGAGTTTTCTATTTTTAGCAGTCACTTAGACTTTTTTGGGGTTATCCTAGATAATTTGCACTATGTATGATAATTGTGCTTATGTGTACCTGGAGTTTACCTGGAGAGAGCTCCGGGGGTCAACGCCCCCGTGCCTAAATAAAATTATTTGAGAATGTTACCACTGCACTTCAAAGAACCAGAGTGTTAATCAGATTGGTCAATAACATAAAGATATAAGAGTGTCTTTACATTTCACATTACAGAAATAAACACAATACAGTGGACCCCTGGTTTGCGATCACCTCCCAATGCGACCAATTATGTAAGTGTATTTATGTAGGTGCGTTTGTACGTGTATGTTTGGGGGTCTGAAATGGACTAATCTAATTCACAATATTCCTTATGGGAACAAATTCGCTCAGTACTGGCACCTGAACATACTTCTGGAATGAAATAATATCGTAAACCAGGGGTCCACTGTACTGTATTTTGATTTTCTATTTTTAGTGCAGTTAATTATTGTTTATTGCTTACTTTTTTTTTTGTCTTTCCAGAAACATTGTATTGAAGCAGTTTATGAAGATTAGCCAAAATATGTCAAAATTATGTGCTCTTCAAAATGCATTCACTAAATCCCCAAAACAATTTAGTAATGTAAGTGATTTACTGGTTCCTCTTTATCTGAAGTATATTACATGTAGTAGTGAAAGTGATCATGGCACACACAGTTCAGCTATAAATTTATCTATTAAGAAGACAAATAATAATGAGCCAGTTATGGAAATGACTAATAACAATAGTACAAATATAAACAAGAGCAAAGAACTCCATCCAGGTTCACAGTCTCATAATTATAGACTTCTAGCAGCATCTTCACAACAGTTTCCATGGGCTGGTGAGCTAGCCTCTTCCCCGCCCACAGTACCGACCACCTGTTGTATGTCTGGGTGCCCTAACTGTGTATGGATTGGGTATGCTGAAGCACTTGCAAAGTATTACTGCGATGGAGGAGCCGAGGCACAAAAAAGTATCGAGAGAGAGGTCACAGATCCTAGCCTGAAGGCTTATTTGTTGATGGAAATTAGACTTAAGGGATTAGGAAAATAACAGAGATGATTATATTTTTTTATTTATTTTTTATTAACACATAGGCCATCTCTCACTGAGGCAGGGTGACCCAAAGAAAGAGAAAGTTACAACATCACTCACTCCATCACTGTCTTACTAGAGGCATGCCTACACTTCAGTTCAGAAACTGCAACATATCTCCACCCCTTCATCAGAGCACAGGCATTGTATTTATTTATCAATAACTGTATGTACCTGGTACATATAATTTTCCCCGTACTCAAGGACAAGGTGATACAGTCTTCCAGGACGTGTTAGTCAATAATCATCTTCATGTCTTTGAGATTAGAGTACTCATAGTCATTTGATACCATTGAATTTAGACTAAGAACTGTTATTCTACCTCAGCTTATTTCAAAGTTCAGCTTTATCTAAGGTATACAGTGGACCCCCGGTTAACGATATTTTTTCACTCCAGAAGTATGTTCAGGTGCCAGTACTGACCGAATTTGTTCCCATAAGGAATATTGTGAAGTAGATTAGTCCATTTCAGACCCCCAAACATACACGTACAAACGCACTTACATAAATACACTTACATAATTGGCCGCATTTGGAGGTGATCGTTATGCGGGGGTCCACTGTATTACCACATCCCTGGATGCCTCTCACAGCAATCAATTAACACCCAGGTACTTATTCATGTTAGGCAGACAGGGGCAAATAAGTGTAAGAGAGACTTGCCAACACCTCCACTTCCCCAGGATTAAACCCACATCCTTTGGTTGTGAGCAACTGACCTAGTTTAAGCAGCAGTGTATGAGGTATTAGGTAATATTTAATATTGTGCTTATGATCAACCCCAGTATTTGAAATTAACAAACTTATTTATTAGCAAGAATACTCAAAGAAGATTAGTAATCTGATCATGTGTGCTCAAGGGGATATAGTGAATCTAGTCAACTGTTAAAATATTACATAAGAAATGTAAAGGAAAACAAGCAAAGATAGAAACTTGTAACCTAATTTATAAGTTTGACGATATGTACCACATCACTGACTTGAACAGTAGTCATATTAAAATCTATCCAGTACAGTAGGACCCCCATATCTGCGGGAGATACGTTCCAAAAACCTGCTGTGGATAGTAGCATACCCTATACTATATATAAGTCCTGTACATACCTGTTATAAAGTTGAATTGATAAATTATGAACAATAAGTGGCAAATTATCACTTTTCACTCATGGGAAGCACTTCATGGCTTCTCTTAGCCTTGGAAGAACTGCCAGCTTCTCTACTTTTGCACTTTGGAGCCATTATTATGCAAAATTAAGAGGTATTTTTGGGCCACAGTAAACTGTGGATAACTAAAACCTGGACACCAAATCAGTGGATACATGGGTTCTACTGTATTATTAATGGTAAATGATTAATACCCCATTGCTATCTTCGGTGCTTTATGCTAGTCGGTACAGTTTTTGTGACTTGTTAAACTATGCTGTATCTGCCTACTTATTGCCCGTTTTCCTTATTGAACATCACTACAGTAACAGAGTAATGATTGTGGTGTTTAGTATTTATTCTATCATTGTTAACCCTTAAACTGTCCAAACGTAGATCTACGTTCACGTGCGTAGCGCTCCGACCTTGATTTTCCCCATATGAAAGCATGTAAAAAAAAGCGTAGATCTACGTTTGGAGCCTGCCGCACATCAATGTATATCTACGTTTGGACAGTTTAAGGGTTAAAGATCAGAGGATGTTGTCCCTGTTGTATTTTTAAATATCTCGCATTACAGTATTTGCTATCTTCCATTTGTCTTCATGTAATGAAATCCCAAAAAATTTTGAGACCTAGTTATATTCATGGGAAAACACTAGACCCATAAGGATTATACAGCTCCTGGGAATGGAAAGTAATCAGGTTTGATCAAAAAAAGGGAACATTCTTTTAAAACCCTTTATGCTACCTTCTGGTAAATAATCAGGTTTGATCAAAAAAGGGAACATTCTTTTAAAACCCTTTATGCTACCTTCTGGGAAATAATCAGGTTTGATCAAAAAAAGGAACATTCTTTTAAAACCCTTTATGCTACCTTCTGGGAAATAATCAGGTTTGATCAAAAAAAGGAACATTCTTTTAAAACCCTTTATGCTACCTTCTGGGAAATAATCAGGTTTGATCAAAAAAGGGAACATTCTTTTAAAACCCTTTATGCTACCTTCTGGGAAATAATCAAGTTTGATCAAAAAAAGGAACATTCTTTTAAAACCCTTTATGCTACCTTCTGGGAAATAATCAGGTTTGATCAAAAAAGGGAACATTCTTTTAAAACCCTTTATGCTACCTTCTGGGAAATAATCAGGTTTGATCAAAAAAGGGAACATTCTTTTAAAACCCTTTATGCTACCTTCTGGGGAATATCTAGTATACTCCAGGAGATGCCTGGTCCTATTGCATTCATCTTGTAAGAATCCAGTTCTTAGTGTGCCTTATTCATTATGGACATTAGAACTTATGTAAAATGTTTATGTAAGTTTGGGTGTACAGTAATTGATTTAGAAGAGAGAGGCAGAGGGAAAATTAATATATTACTGATTGTTGGTTCCATTGCATAGATATGAAATGTATGTTCAATTTTATTTAGTGTATTTATGCAAAAAATGTTCAAAGGATCTGCATTTAAAACACAAAATACCCTGGTATTTAGTTTATTCTGGAAAAACTTCAATACATTGTACTGTCTTATTTTTACAGTATATTTGAATTATAAATAAAAAATTACATAACTAATTGCATTCAAAATAATATTTCATTTCCAGTACCCGGAATTGAAGTTAGTTTTTAAGACTATGCTTCTCATCCATACAGAACGATTGCCACCAATATATACTACAGTACTGTACTGTGCTCTGATATATGTCTTTCGGCACCCATTGACAAACTTTTCTCCTTTAACACATCCTCATCATGCTTGCAACTTTCCCTTGTTCTCTCCAGAATATTCCAGGTGTAAATTCAGAAAGTATTGGTTCCAAATCTACATGAAATTACAGTGCTCTCTGAAAGCAAGAAGCTTGGTGGACAGTGCAAACACCCCCAGTGAAAAGCTAGGGTGCACAAGTACCACAAGTAAATTTATTTAGATACAGATACACATACCTACAATGATCATACATATTTTAACATATGTGTAATTTTCCTAGGATAACCCAAAAAAAAGTCAGACAAATGACTTATTTCCATTGGGGTCATTATATTTCCTTCCTATGCAGTATCATATATCAGAGAAATTAACAAAGGATCCCTCTAGCTGTTTTTAAGAGGGCACGTTATAAGTTCTTCAAATCATTTAATGATCAGCCAGGCTAGGGTGCCTACTGAAGACTGTATACTGCTAGCACCAAGAACCCAATTGATCAGACCTTCAGCTAAGGCACCTGGTCGGGGACTGGGCTTTGGGGGCAGTGACCCCTAGATTGACTGCAGGTGGCAGCCTTGATGCTGGCAAATGGCCCTTGATTCAAGGGATTAAATCTAATTTTCCTTGAATCAGGAGCCTTGATGCTGGTGAATAACTCTACATTCAAAGGTTCAGATCTGATTTTCCTGGAATCAGATCTTACTGCCTCTCATAACACAGATATTGTATGACCCCTGAGTGTTTAGCCCTCCCCACAATAAAAATAATTCAGGTAAAGAGCGAAAAGGCACAATACCATAACTTGAGGAATATACAAATAACCCCCACATAGGAGAAAGAAATTTATGGCGACATTTTGGTCCAAATTGACCGAAAGATCATCGTAAGTTTCTTTCTGTGTGTAGGTTATTTATGAATAATTAAGGTAGGCAGGAATGCTTGCACTTTAGGAGGAAAGGAATAGGGTTGGTGCCATGAGGTTGATAATGTTCTTAAAAAATATTTGTGTACACCTGTTAAGTAAAAGACCACATGCAATGTTGCCACATAAAATGTCTTATTAGATACATCTGTGTTCTTTTACCTAACGTTTAGTCAGTAATTCTACCATTATTACTGTGTGCACCTGCTAGAGCTAATGAGATTTACAGCCATAAGGCAGGGTGATTGTATATGATCCAAAAATGTAGGGCCTATATAAACTATAAATGTAAAAAAATGGGAAATTAAAAAAAATATGTGTATCTCTAAACTCATATGGACTGTTTAGTGTTCATGAAAAAAATAAAAATTATAGTATAGTAGGTAGTGAAGAGGCACATCTATATATTACATTGTTCCTCATCCTCATATCGGACATAGACAGGGATATAAGCCACAGTGCCATGTCTTCCTTTGCAGATGACACCCAAATCTGCATGACGGTATCCTCCATTGAAGACACTGCAAGGCTAAAGGCAGACATCAGTCAAATCTTTAAATGGGCTGCAGAAAACAATATGAAGTTCAATGATGAGAAATTTCAACTACTCCGATATGGTAAACGTGAGGAAATTAAAATTTCATCGGAGTATAAAACAAATTCCAACCGCACAATAGAGCGAAAAATGAACGTCAAAGACCTGGGAGTGATCCTGTCGGAAGATCTCACCTTCAAGGACCATAACATTGTATCAATTACATCTGCTGGAAAAATGACAGGATGGATAATGAGAACCTTCAAAACCAGGGATGCCAAGCCCATGATGACACTCTTCAGGTCTCTTGTTCTATCTAGGCTGAATATTGCTGTGCACTAACAGCACCTTTCAAGGCAGGTGAAATTGCTGACCTAGAAAATGTACAGAGAATCTTCACAGCATGCATAACTGAGATAAAACACCTCAATTACTGGGAACACTTGAAGTTCCTAAACCTGTACTTCCTAGAATGCAGGCAGGAGAGATACATGATTATATACACTTGGAAAATCCTAGAGGGATTAGTACCAAACTTGCACATGAAAATCACTCCCTATGAAAGCAAAAGACTCGGCAGACAATGCAACATCCTCCCAGTGAAAAGCAGGGGTGCTACTAGCACATTAAGAGACAACACAATAAGTGTTAGGGGCCCAAGACTGTTCAACTGCCTCCCAGCATACGTAAGGGAGATTACCAATAGACCCCTGGCTGTCTTCAAGCAGGCACTGGACAAGCACCCAAAGTCAGTATCTGACCAGCCGGGCTATGGTTTGCACGTTGGATTGCGTGCAGCCAGCAGTAACATCCTGGTTGACCAGGCCCTTATCCACCACGAGGCCTGGTCACAGACTGGGCCATTGAGACGTTGAACCCCAGAACTCTCTCCAGGTAAATATAAAAATGCTTAAAGAAAACTGCACTTGGTTTTCCTGTTGGGTAGTAAGAGAGAGTAAAATAAACCTTCGCTGTATCAAACTTCTATATAGCAGACTTTGGAAATGCAGAATAAAATTCTTTTGTGTTAATTGGTTCAGAAATAATCCATCAGTTACAGAATTTTCCACTTTTTATACTAGTCACCTGCTCCTTCCCTATTATTCCTTTATATCAAGAATTTACGACCACTTGACTTACGGCCGTGTTTTTCATGCCAAATTTCCGGAAAATAAACAACTACAGTATTTGTGTTGTACACGGTGTTTATCCTAAACCTTACAGTATAAAATACAGTACTAACAGCATAAAAAGTAAAGTAAAACATGAAATACCAAAATAAAACAATAAAATAGTCATTACAAAAATGTTTTGTTGATATTCAGTAGTAAAGTTCGACTTACGACCATTTCGACTTACGACCGGTTTCTCGGAACCGAACTCGGTCGTAAGTCGGATGGTAGGTGTATATTGACAAATATAGATACAATATAGAAAAATGTAATTCAATAAAAATACAATATTACACATTCAAACATCACTTAATAACATTTAACAAAAGTAATGTTTCAATGTTATCAGACACTGAGTAAGTACAGTATTACAATATTACTCAATTTTCAGATTGCAGTACCATTTCTTGATACATATTTCTGGCATCAGCTCACTTGAAGGCCTCAGAGAAAGGCGTGCCTTTAGCAATATATTTTCCACAAAGGCCAGTAAACTGTACTCCCTTCATCAGTATCTCACAAACAGGCTGGAAGAAAGAGAATTAAATATATATTATAAAATAATAAACAGTTTGGTAATATTTAATAATTAACAATACGTACATGTATCTGCATACTAATTTGTACTTTTTAAAAAAGTACGGCATTTCCAGCATATGAGGGGCACTTTTTTACCCCAAAAAAAGTCTTGGAAAATCACCCATGCCTTATATGCTCAAGGTGAGGGTCAAGGGGTAGGCTTTGGGTTATGCACAGCGCTGTATAGCCCTTGTGGCTTAGCGCTTCTTTTTGATTATAATAATAATAATAATTTGGGTTATGCTTTAGCAGTTGTTACAATTGCTTGGAAACATTGTCTGATATACTCGTGCACTTTATATGACAGAAAATACATACATACGTTATAATGACGAACAACTCACAGTAATGCCTTCACAGCAAGCAGTAAAGGTGTTGAGCAATACATAGATGGCAGCACAAAAGCCTGATACCCAGAACCCAATAATGAGTAATACAACCAGCCATAGAATGGACCACAAGGCACTTCCGTCCCCCTGACCTGCACCGTCGCCTGATCCCGCACCTGCAGCCATTCTTCCCTACAAAACAAAAGACAAATTAGTACATTACAGGTTTTTATTTCAGGCTAAAGTAACTCACCTCAATGCATACTTCATTATATTTTAAAGATGTTGAAGCCTTAATGTTCCATATTAATTCTCAATTAAATAAGAATAGGTTATTGTTCATAGAAAACCTGTATGCCATAAAAGAAAACAAATTCACCTATTTGTTGCATACTGATGGAAAGCATAAAATAATAATTGTCTAAAAGAATTTTCACATCTCTGAAGGTACCAGGATGAAAAAATTGGACAATCTCTGGTACTGTATGATCAATATGCATTTGGCTTTTTTTCCTGTTGTGGAGGTGCCATCCAGGTGGTGAAGATATGAGGTGATAATCCTTGAGGCCTTGAGAAATTTCAGAAATAAAAAAAATTATATGGGATGAAAATAAGTTATGCACAATCAAAGTCACTAGTGACATGGTTCTCAGACAAATATGTACTGTAGATAGATTAAAACCAAAGAAATCCCCAGGCCCTGATGAACTATTCTCAAGGGTTATAAAGGAAATGTAAGGAGGAACTTAACAAACCTTTGGCTAGTCTTTTCAATATATCACTACAAATTGGCATAGTGCCAAATAAGTGGAAAATGGCAAGTGTGATGCCTGTCTACAAAGCAGGAGATAGGCCCTTAGCTTCGAATTACGTAATTATAGATCAACTAGCCTAACCTCAACTGTTAGAAAATTGATGGAATCAATAATTGCCAAGGCTATTCAAAACCACCCTGAAAGACATAAATTGATGAATCTAAGCATGGTTTTACAAATTTACTGACTTTTTTCATTAAGGTATTCAGGAGGTGGATCATGGTAACGAATATGATATTGTGTATGTAGACTTCAGTAAAGCTTTTGATAGAGTTCCACACAAGGGATTGTTGAGGAAAGTAGAGATACACAGAATAGAAGAAATTTTTTCTTGGATAGAAGTGTGGTTGACAGATAGGCAACATATAATTTGCATAAATGGGGAGAAATAAGAGTCATCACAAGTGGTGTTCCACAAGGGTCAGTGTTTGGCCCTGTGCTGTTCACAATACAGATCACTGACATAGATGAGGGAATAAATAGCAACATAAGCAAGTTTGCAGATGACACCAAAATAGGCCATCAGATTAATTCTGGTGCAGACACTAGATATCTACAGGAGGATCTGAATAGACTGATGCAATGGTTGGAGAAGTGGAGGATGCAGTTTAATATAGACAAATGCAAAGTTCTAAGCCCTGGAAAAGAAAATAACTATGGCATTTATAAACTAAATAATGTAGCTCTTATTCACTCTGAATGTGAAAAAAAATTTAGGAGTTCTGGTTAGCAGTAATCTAAAGCCAAGAAAACAGTGCATAAGTCTTTGCAATAAAGCAAACAGAATCTTGGCTTTATATCAAAAAGTATGAATAACAGGAGTCCTCAGGTTATTCTTCAACTCTGTATATCATTGCTTAAGCTTCATTGAAATTATGCTGCACAGTTCTAATCACCATATTTTAGAATGGACATATGTGCACTGGAAAACATGGAGAGAAGGATAAAGTTGATCCCATATATCAGAAATCTTTCTTACGAGTATAGACTGAGGACAGTGAATCTGCCCTCTCTAGAAAGGCATAGAATTAGGGGGTATATGATTGAGGTGTGTAAATGGAAGACAGGAATAAATAATGGGTGGATAAATAACATGCTAAAAATATCTAACCAAGACAGGACTTGCAGCAATGGGTTCAAATTGGAAAAAAATAGATTGAGAAAGGATATAGGAAAGCATTAGTTTGGTAATAGAGTTGTGGATGAGTAAAACAAATTCTCAAGTAGAGTCATTGAAGGTAAAACCTTACATAGCTTTAAAAATAGGTTAGACAAGTACATGAGTGGGTGTGGGTGGGTGTGACTTGAACCTGCCTAGCATGGTCCAGTAGGCCTGCTGCAGTGCTCCTTTCCCCTTAGGTAAGGGGTGACTTAGGCATCCCTAACATGGACAAGTAGGCCTGCTGCAATGCTCCTTCTTTCTTATGTTCTTATCTCTGTGACTCACGTGTCTTAACTTACAGCTGCGCCCCCGAATTTCCGCTTCTCACCTCTCAAACAGCTTGGCCCTATCTACCCTATCAAGTCCTCTTGAGTATTTTTTTATGTTGGTGTCATATCTCTTCAGATTCTTCTATTTTCCAGTGTCATTAGATTCAATACCATTAGCTTCTCATAGCTCGTACACCTTAGCTCAGCAACAAGCCTTGTTACATATATCTGCTCATTCTTCAGTATTTTAACATGTTTCCTCAGGTGTGGGTTTCATACTGGTGCTATGTGCTCCAAGATGGGCGTGGCACATGTTGTATAAAGGGCCTGGAGAGCAGTGGCTGCAGAGGTTATTCAGTTGATGTGAACCTCAGGTGAAATGCAAGGCACTGTGCTCAACCCCAGGTCTTTGAGTAATGTCTACAACCTCTGTCCCAGGAGACTATGAGACTATACACTGTGTCTGGTCTTCTGTCCCCTCCCCTGATCTTCACGAAATTACATTTGTTGGGTTTGAATTCAAACAACCACTTATTTGACCACACTTGCAGTGTGTCCAGATCCAGATGTAGTCTTTCTCTGTCCTTGTTTGTGCACCCACAGGCTGGGTATGGGGTGCATAATAAAGATATTAAACCAACTTGTTTGTTTTTACTCTCATCAGGTCTACATCATCAAACAGGAATACTTCTTACTTAATTCCATCTTGAATATCGTTTATGTAAACCAGAAACATTATTAACCCTAATACCAATCCTTGAGGCACCCCACTTCTTACACTTCCCTATTCTGACATCTCTTCCCAGACACTGTCCTTTTTTTTGTGTGTGTGTACTCGACTATATGTGGTTGCAGGGGTCGAATCTTAGCTCCTGGCCCTGCCTCTCAACTTGCTGCTTGTCAGATTCACTTTGCTTGCCTTGTGGGTCCTACCATATCTATTCCTAAAACCATGTATGGGGTCTGTCTCCACCACATTGAGGTCATTCCACTTCCCAACCAGCCTGAGACTGAAGAAATATTTCCTGACATCCCTGTGACTCATGTGTCTAGCTTCCAGCTATACTCCCAAGTACCTGTTTCTTGCCTCTCAAACAACCTGTACCTGGAGTTTACCTGGAGAGAGTTTCGAGGGTCAACGCCCCCGCGGCCCGGTCTGTGACCAGGCCTCCTGGTGGATCAGCGCCTGATCAACCAGGCTGTTGCTGCTGGCTGCACGCAAACCAACGTACGAGCCACAGCCCGGCTGATCAGGAACTGACTTTAGGTGCTTGTCCAGTGCCAGCTTGAAGACTGCCAGGGGTCTGTTGGTAATCCCCCTTATGTGTGCTGGGAGGCAGTTGAACAGTCTCGGGCCCCTGACACTTATTGTATGGTCTCTTAACGTGCTAGTGACACCCCTGCTTTTCATTGGGGGGATGGTGCATCGTCTGCCAAGTCTTTTGCTTTCGTAGTGAGTGATTTTCGTGTGCAAGTTCGGTACTAGTCCCTCTAGGATTTTCCAGGTGTATATAATCATGTATCTCTCCCTCCTGCGTTCCAGGGAATACAGGTTTAGAAACCTCAAGCGCTCCCAGTAATTGAGGTGTTTTATCTCCGTTATGCGCGCCGTGAAAGTTCTCTGTACATTTTCTAGGTCGGCAATTTCACCTGCCTTGAAAGGTGCTGTTAGAGTGCAGCAATATTCCAGCCTAGATAGAACAAGTGACCTGAAGAGTGTCATCATGGGCTTGGCCTCCCTAGTTTTGAAGGTTCTCATTATCCATCCTGTCATTTTTCTAGCAGATGCGATTGATACAATGTTATGGTCCTTGAAGGTGAGATCCTCCGACATAATCACTCCCAGGTCTTTGACGTTGGTGTTTCGCTCTATTTCGTGGCCAGAATTTGTTTTGTACTCTGATGAAGATTTAATTTCCTCATGTTTACCATATCTGAGTAACTGAAATTTCTACCCTATCAATTCCTCAGAGTATTTTGTATATCATGTCTTCCCTCGACCTTCTGTCCTCCATCCAGGGTTGCAAGATTCAGTTCCTTTTGCCGTTCCTCCTGTGTGTGTCGCCGTAATCGCCTCTCTTCTATGTGCTGGTTATTTGTGTATACAGACCATAGCTGACATCAATGACATACTACTATATAGAAAGTCCCTTGTTATGCTGAGCATTTCCCGCAAATTAGGTCAGTTTTGTCCCAGGATGCGACCCATACCAGTCCACTAACACCCAGGATGCGACGCACACCAGTCCACTAACACCCAGGTACCTATTTTATACGGATGGGTGAAGAGGGACAGCAGGTGTCTTATGGAAACACGTCTCCAATGTTTTCCAGCCATACCGAGGAGATTTGAACTCCGGACCTCAGGGTGTGAGGTGAGTGAGCTAGCGATGGTCAGGGTCATCTTTTGTAAATCATGGCCCGGTTAACAAATAGCCAACTAGTTGATTGCATCTTCTTGGACTGCAAGAAGGCCTTTGACACAGTTCCTCACAAGAGATTAGTGCAGAAGCTAGAGCATCAGGCGCATATAACAGGAAGGGCACTGCAATGGATCAGAGAATACCTGACAGGGAGGCAACAACGAGTCATGGTACGTAATGATGTATCACAGTGGGCACCTGTGACGAGCGGGGTCCCACAGGGGTCGGTCCTAGGACCAGTGCTATTTTTGGTATATGTGAACGACATGACGGAAAGGTTAGACTCAGAAGTGTCCCTGTTTGCAGATGATGTGAAGTTAATGAGGAGAATTAAATCTGATGAGGACCAGGCAGGACTTCAAAGAGACCTGGACAGACTGGACACCTGGTCCAGCAAATGGCTTCTCGAATTTAATCCTGCCAAATGCAAAGTCATGAAGATAGGGGAAGGGCACAGAAGACCACAGACAGAGTATAGGCTAGGTGGCCAAAGACTGCAAACCTCACTCAAGGAGAAAGATCT